TCTCCTTGTGTCTTTACCATACATTCCAACTTTTTCATAGTGTTCCTCACAAGGCGAACTATTTTGCTTGAAATATCAAGCTCTACCATGCCCTGTCGTATCAGACTTTTATATGCTACTTGATAGTCCATGAGAAGGTGATGGGTCGGTATAGCATATTCCTTGGTCTTTTCCATCAGTGTTTTTAAAGAAAAGATCTGTTCAGTGGCTGCTTTCCCTTTCATAAAGTCAGAAATGCCTTTATTCATACAGCCTGGTTTGTATGATAACTTGCATTATTTATTTATATTCTACGCAATTTAATTTGTACTTGCGCGGCAGGGCATCTAATAAATTTCCTGTATTTATACTGTTTTGGCATATTTGCTTGATTTCATTTTTATCGATATAGTAGGTCTCTTAGCCATTTTCTTCTTAATCTGCATCGTTCAGGTAACAGGGAGCAGGAAATTAAAAGAATCAGAGGATTGGAATGATTTTGGGTTGAAGAATAAAATGTAGTGTATTTGTCGTGGATGTAGGATTTTACTGTTGGGGTTGTTAAGTCGTAATGTATATTAATATTTGAAATATACTGTATTTTGTTTATGTATGTTTGTTTTGCCGAACCCCGAAGTTCTGCTCCATATATTGGTCTCATAAGGTGGTTTGATCAGTCGCTTGTTTCGTAAGTTAAGTGAAGATATGTAATCTAGAAGATGTGAGAGTTGGCTATATTGTCTAGTAAGTTCTTGTCTTTTTAATTTCGTATGTATGTTCCCAGTAAGTCTTTTGTCTATGTAGAGTCCAAGGTACCGTACATAGTTCTTTGAAGGCACTGGATTATTGGCAATCGTTATGGGTGGACATGAGGCTTTCCTAAGAGAGAAAGTAACGTGGGTGGATTTATTACTATTTATTTTGATTTTCCAGTTTTCAAACCATTTTTCAAGATCATGAAGATGGTTTTGTAGGACAATTGATGCGATAGTAGGATTTTTGTGTGAAGTTAGAATAGCAGTGTCGTCAGCGAAGTCACTAACGTGGGTGGATTTATTACTATTTTCCATTTTTCAAAACACTTTTCAAGATCATGGAGGTGGTTTTGAAGGACAATTGATGCAATAGTAGGATGCTTTTGCATTAATTTTTGTTATTATGAATATTAATTTTATTTATCTAATTGTTACTAAAACAACCGGTCGATCATAATTTTTGCATGAATAAACAAAAAATAATACACTAAATATTATAACGTCAGATAACCAATGTTTTAAAAGAAAATAAAGAACAACCAGGTGTAAAGAATAAAATCCCATTGCCCTTATTTTTCGTCGATCTAGAGCCATCGCCTGGGATCGAAAAAATATACGATGTGAATAGAATTTTCTACACCAGCGTAAAGGTCGAAAAACCGTACCCAAAAAGAGAGTTCATCCAGTGCCATAATTGCCAAGCATATGGCCACACCAAGTCTTATTGCCACCACTTACCACGCTGCGTGAAATGTGGTAAAACACACAAGTCTGGCGAGTGTAATAAACCAATTACAGAACCAGCAGTCTGTGCCCTATGCCTGGAAGGCCATCCAGCCAACTACAAAGGCTGCCAAATTTATAAAAATCTTAAAGCGAGATATACGAAACCCAGGGACCCTGATGATACACCTAAACCAAGAAGAGGACCCGCTAAAATTGTGAACTCTAAGGTTTCTTTTGCCAAGCTACTTGGGGGTAGAGACCCGACTAATGTATGTGAGGCCCTGCCGCAAGAACAAACTCAACCCCAATCTCAATATCCTATCCCACCTAATGTACCTAATCAACAACAACCTCACCAACATCAAATCCAATATGTTCCTCCACCGCCTAATGCTACAGATCTAACCAGCTTATTGACATCCTTTCTTTCAGAATTTAAATCCCTTGTTACCCCACTGATATCACTTCTCACTAACCTAGTATCTCACCTTATCCCTCCTTTAAAAAATCCTTAAATGACTTCCATCAAACCCATATCCATTCTCCTTTGGAATGCGAATGGTGTTAGAAATCACATACACGAACTAACAGCCTTACTACAAGACAAGAACGTAGACGTAGCCCTAATAACGGAAACTCGACTGACTAAAAAACAGCTCCTAAAAATACCACAATACATAACTTACCGTACCGACCATCCTGACGGTAGAGCACATGCCGGTACTGCAGTCATTGTGCACCAATCCCTCTCCCATCACCTACTCCCACTGCCTACACACGATTTCCTACAATCCACCGCAGTCGTAATCAAAACCTTCTCCTTTCCTATTACCGTTGCATCAGCGTATTGCCCTCCAAACCAATCCATCTCCAATATCCAATTTAGTTCCTTCCTCATTTCCTTAGGACATCATTTCATCTTGGGTGCAGACTTAAACGCCAAGCATCAACAATGGGGTTCAAGAACCACGAATTCTCGTGGTCGAACATTGCTGTCTGTACTCAATTCCCAAAATTTTACCCTTCTTCCACCCAACTCACCTACCTACTGGCTCACTGATCCTAACCGTAATCCCGATATCCTCTTTCTTTATCCATAATGGTTTAGGTGCTCTCAACCATTCCGTTGCCCGTCTTGACGAGCTTTCCTCAGACCACAGCCCATTAATACTCCAAGTATCACTAGCTCCTATTCCTAAACCCTCTCCTCCGTCCTTCATCAGAGGCCCAGTTAACTGGAAACTCTTTCATCAAATCCTCTCCGATAAAATTGACCTCAGAGTAACCCTGAAAACCTCTGAAGACCTGGACAATGCAGTACATTCCTTCACTACCAAAATTCAAGAAGCAGTCTGGACTGCTTCCTCCCCTGATCACTCCTCAAAAATCCTTAAGAAACATAATTTACCTCAACACCTCCTTGACCTAATCCACATAAAACGCCGTGCCAGATTATTATGGCAACGTACCAGACATCCAGCCGACCGCCACTCCTACAATTATCACTGTAAAAAATTAAAACAAGAGTTAGCCACCTTCAGATCCCAATCATTCAATTCCTACCTCACCACACTCTCTGCTCATGATAATTCTCTTTGGAATATCACCAGAAAAATCCTCAAATCCCATCATATTTCCCACCCTCTTCGACGAGATGATGGCTCCTGGGCAGCATCTGATGAAGATAAAGCCGAGGAATTTGCCAAACACCTTTCCTATACTTTCGCTCCTCATCCAGAATCCCATCCCAGCCACACAGTAAAAGTAGAAGAATCCCTCTCAATACCTATCCCACTCTCCTTACCACCTAAAGCTGTTAATCCCTCTGAGGTCAAATACCTTTTACGGAAAATCACACCTCGCAAATCTCCTGGATATGACCTTCTAACCCCACAGATCCTTCGACAACTCCCATCTAAAGCCGTCATATTTCTTACATATATATACAATTGCATCCTACGAACTACCCACTTCCCTCTTTTATGGAAACATTCCATCATCGTCCTCTTCTTGAAACCAGGCAAACCTTCCAACAATACAGCATCCTATAGACCAATTAGCCTACTCCCAATCCTCTCAAAAAATTTTGAAAAGATCCTACTGAAACGAATCCTACCTATAATTGAATCCTATAACCTTCCTACTCATCAATTCGGATTTCGTTCCCAACATTCCACTGTCCAGCAAGGACTCCGAGTTGTTGACCATATATCCTCAACCCTAGAAAGCAAGCGGTATTGCTCGGGTGCATTTCTGGACATAGCGCAAGCTTTTGACCGGGTATGGCACGCCGGATTACTCTTCAAGCTTAAAATCCATCTACCACAGTCCTTATACCTAGTACTCCGATCCTATCTTTCCGACCGCTCCTTCCGAGTTCGCTCTGGCACCGAATTCTCCGACTGTTACTCAATTGAGGCTGGCGTTCCTCAAGGCAGCGTCTTGGGCCCCATCCTTTACATTCTCTTTACCGCTGATATTCCTGTCCATCCCGATACCCTCCTGGCAACTTTCGCTGATGACACTGCTATCCTTTCTTCCAACTCAGATCCTGAAACAGATCCGCAAACTTACAAAGGCACCTCTTCCTGATTGAACACTGGTGTAAGAAATGGCGCATTAAGGTAAACGAATCTAAATGTAAACACATTACCTTCACCCTTCGGCGTAATACCTGCCCACCAGTTTATTTTAACTCCATCCAGCTTCCTTTCTCAGATACAGTCCGGTATCTTGGCTTTCTCTTAGACAGACGACTAACATGGAATCCACATACTCGACTTAAAAGACAGGAACTTAACAGACGATATGGCCAGCTATATAGACTACTGAATAGAAAATCTAAACTTTCTGGTGAAAACAAATTACTGATCTACAAGACAATACTGAAACCCATCTGGACTTACGGACTAGAACTATGGGGAACAGCCAAATGTTCTAACATCAAACGCATTCAATCCTTTCAGTCTAAAGTCCTCCGTACAATAGTCAATGCTCCCTTCTATGTAACCAATAAAATCCTACACCATGACCTTAATATCCCATTTATTCTTGATCTTATCCCAGCCAAATTTTCCAAATTTCACCAGAACCTTTCTCATCACCCAAATCCCGTTGTACAATCCCTATCAAGCACCACCCATCCCTACAATCCCCTTCGTAGGTTAAAGCGGCAGTGGCCACGAGACCTTTTGTAAATATGGATATTTTGGAGTTCTAGCAATGGCCAGATTCTCCACATTATAATTGTTATTACAAGATATTTTATTTTATGTATCCTAATATAATGCATTTAGGTGATTAAAAAAGAAAATGTGTCATCACAATAAAGATTTAGCGCTTATAAATACTAAATATGTTAAACGCAAGATATCCTAGAATGTGCCCATGATAAACTAACATTCCTGACAAAAAAAGACGTAAATTTCGAACAAGGAAGTAAAATTTTAAGATATGGGCTGAAGGTCGTAAGGAAGTATTATTAATATATTTTGAAACAACTCCTGTTTAGTTGTGCTTTCCGATTTTAGTGAATAAGTGATGTTCGATTTAGCAAGCTTTGAGATTAAAATTTACTTTTTATGCAGCGGTGTTTTGAGTCTCAAAATGCTTTTCATGGCTTCGTTGATAGGCAGGCTGAGGCTCAAGAAAGAGGTTAGATTCCTTTTTAAATCATGATTTTATTTTGTATAAATAAATAAAATATAAGGGTGTGTAGTAACCCTAAATTATATTTTTGATCCACTTTATAGATAAGTCAATGACATGATTTTCAATATTATATATGTGATTTATAAAATTGTTAAGCTTAAAATGTATACTATAATATCATTAACTTTTGTTTTAATCAAAGGTACAATAAAATGCTTGACACAGATCGACAATCCAGGGGTGCAACCAGAACTTAGATATTCGGCGCACCCGAGCAATGACATCGTCCCTTCCCAAAAAAATCTAAATTTATTTCTTAAGCTCTTTAATATTATTTAATACATTGTCATTTCATTCAATATTTCACTTATACAGTTGCTTTATTGATAGGCTAAAATGTATTTCTAACAAGTGGCGAGGGCCCCTGAAGATCGGTCAGCGCCCCCAACTTTTCCTGGTCGGCGCACAGTGGTCAAAACTTATAAAAGTTGTCATTTTGTTCTTTCAAGAAAAAAATGTAAATTTCCTTCATATGATTTTTGACATAAGAGTTTGTAATGAGGATTAAGTACCTAATGGGACAAGACGGAGAAACAAAAGTTAGGAATTTTCTCAACTAATGAAAATTTAATTCCGAGAAGAAAATATTCTATTACTTTTTTTGCGAAAACCCCTTCTGAAGAAAGCGATGATAGGAAATAACTAAAAAAAAAAAAAAACGTGCAAATATACGATTTTAAAACTGCAATATCTTTTTAGGGTGTACGGGTTATAGAATGTGACTTATGTGATTTTTTAACGCATGGTACAATGAACAAAACCAATCTAATTTGGTTAGGCTCAAGTTGTATCCGGATAAGGTATCGAAATTCGGAAATTTGTATTTATTACTACACATAACTTTTAAATCTTCCACGTAAAGCGGCAATAATGTATATATTGTAATGTATAATATCTCTAAGGACAATATTAATTGAAACTTATTTTAGATATATTTAGACTAATGAAGAAAAAGAAAACAGTGGATGATGATTTCTGAGGATACTACTGAAATTTGACGCGCTGATCTCCACTGAAAGTGTACATAAATGAACATAATAAGGAATGTATACGAATTAAATAAATCAATGAAATAAATACATTATTGGCGCTTTTATGTGGAAGATTTAAAAGTTATGTTGAGTAATAAATATAAAACTTCGAATTTCGATATATCAGCTGGATAGAATTAGTACCTAACAAAATTAGATGGGTTTTGTTCACTGTATCATGCCCAATAAGATGACATACGTCTTATTCTAACTCGTCCCCCCTTGAAAAATACTGCAATTTTAAAATCGTAAATTTGCATGTTTTTTTAAAAAATTATTTTTCATCATATCTTTCTTCAGAAGAGTTTTCTCAAAAAAGTAATAAAACATTTCTTTCTCGGAATTAAATTTTCTATTAGATAGCATAAAAAATATTTAATTTTCATTAGTTCAGAAAATCCATATATTTTTTTTTTACCCCATTAGGTACTTAAATCCTCTTTACAAACTTGTATGTCAAAGTTCATATGAAAGAAATAAAACTTTTGCGCGGAAGAACAAAATACCGACTTTTATCAATTTTGACCATTTTGCGGCGCCCCGCTTCCCCGCCCTAAGGCTGGCACTGGCTGCAACTAGCCAGAGGCAAAGATGGCATTTGCCTTCGAAAGTATTTCACTGGCGACCAATTTCGAGAAAAATAGTATTTTTAGATTATATAAAAAAACATTATTTCTGCTTTATTATTGTTTTGATCTTGATTATGTCAATGAAATTCTTTTATATTACCATAAGTTGATATATATTTAAACATTTATTAACCATAATATTATTATAAAGCTGTTTACTTTTATTCGGGAGGGGGATTGACTTTCATTCTGTCGCCCGACGGGGCGACAAAAATAAATCCTAATTCCAACACTGCTGCTATAATCGAAATGATGTAGTTCCAACCAATCTCACCATCTAAAAATTTAGTATTTTTGAGCAGATTATCATTAAAATAAAATATTAAAGAGGTAAACTGAAAATGAGCAATAGTCTAGCAATAATTCAGCAAAAAGATAGTACTAAACTGAATTTATTATTTATTAGTATAAACACTTTACTTTAATAATTAACTTTGAAATATTTTCAGATTTTTATAAGCCCAGAGGATACTATTAGGAGAGGAAAGGTGTCATACCAGGACCCTGACATAGAGAGGGCCAGGAGGTAAATTAATCAAACATCATATTGTTAATATTAAGCCCCTAATCTATCGAAGAATAGGCTACGAAAAGTTCTCATTCAAATAGCTTTATTGTCGGTTTATTGCAAAAAGTTATCAAGTAACTTCTAAAATCAATTAAATCAACAAGTAATCTCTCTGATATCATTTCATTTCGCCACTTAAGTAACTATTTTTAAGCAACTTAATTATTTATTATAATTAAAGAAGTTATTAAAACGTAGACACTATAAATATAAATTCATGAGACAGCTGTGAAAAACATATGGTAAATTGTTTTAAATAATTGAAGAGAAGGATGGTTAGGGTGATCAGTCAAAATAAAATAGTAAAAATAAATAATTGTATTTATTTTCATATTCGTCGACGTTTCGGAGGTTCAGGCCTTTATTAGGGCTAAGAAAAGAACCAGATAACAATTGGTATAAGAAACTATAAACATTGAATAAAAAAGAATTAAAATTAATAAAGTGAAAGGTATAGACTAAAAAATGTATGTAGAAAAACTTAAAGTAAAATGAAGTAGATAGAGTGAACATTAAAGCAAAATAAAGTAGGTAGAATAAAAGCAGTGACAGAGAACTAAGAAATAAATAATAATAACGGTAACAAAGCACGGACCAATGAAATAAACATAATCAAAATAAGGTTACATAACAATGGTAATCTTAGAATAAAGATCTTCATCTTTACTTTAAGTTTTTACTTCATTTTACATTTAAGTTTGTCTACCTACATTTTTTAGTCTATATCTTTCACCTATTTTAATCTTAATTCTTTATTATTCAATGTTTCTTACACCTATTGTTACCTGGTTCTCTTCTTAGCCCTAACGAAGGCCTGAACTTCGGGCCGAAACGTCGGCGAATGTGAAAATAAATACAATTATTTATTTTTACTATTTTATTTTGACTGATCACCCCAGTCATCATTCTTCTATTCAATTATTGACTGCAGTCAACCATCAACCCACAATTATGTTTTAAATAATATATTGTACAGTCTGTAATTTTTACTTTCACTTCCTTTTGTCAGAAAAAAACATATTTTTGATAACAGGAAGATGGTAAGTGAAAGTTTTGAGTCACCAAATTTGTTTTTTTATTATATTCACCAATAGCGAATCTATGATTTAATTTGGGGGCTTCAGCCCTATCATTTTTGCATGTGATCAGACAAGGAAATTCCCGCCAAAATTTAAACTCGGCTTAGAGCTAATTTTCAGACCAACAGACCGAGCCAATTGGCAGAGATTTTTAGAGGCCCATAGCGCCCACTATGATGATGATGAAGAATTAATATGGGTAAACATTTATTGATGTAATAAGTAAATGTTATTACCTATCGTTAAGAAGAAAGCTATTTATAATGGAGGCATTCGCAGTAAGAATAAAAAAAAAAATGTACTCCTAAATTTTTAAAAAACATAAAACAAAATTCATAACAACCAAAGAAAAAAATTTAATTTTAAAAAATAATTCTTTGAAAGAATAACCTGAATCAAAATATTCTTGAAAATATATAAATTAGGTTCCTCTCAAGGTTTTTCAAGTTTGACAATTTGTAATAGTAATTACCAACCCCAACCTCAGCTAAAGTTACTGGTTTTACAGATCCTCCGCCACTACTGCCGTTACATTATTCCGTTAGCAGAAATAGCAACCTGCCTTCTTTCAAGAGCTTCTGCTTTTCCAGATATACTTAAATAACATTATCATACCATATTTTGCGAAAAACTATTTAAAAGGTTTGTAACATGCGGAGGAACTTTTTCATAAAAGTTATTAACTTCCATTGGAGTTGACAGGAAGATATATCACTTCAAGCCAGAGAATAAAGTAAATTACTTCTGCTTGGATCCATGTTCTCACTGATGATGAGTTTCATCAGTTGGTGAGTGAGGGGAATTTCTATCTGTTTAGATAGTTTATTGATAACTGGTGTAGAGTTAATGCATGTTATCAGGCAGCACTGTAGCTTGTAAACAAAGGCATGATTGGCTTGGGTAAATTACCCAGACAGTAGTAGTCGATAGTTTGATGTATATGTAGAGCAATAAACGTGTTTTTTGTTTTGTGGTGTAAAAGTTTCCAACATAGCTTCATTTGTTTCCTGAAGTGATTTCCTGACATCAAAACCTGGAAAGCGGTGCAGGATGGTCTAAGCAACAAATACAAAGTCTGAATTAATTTCATTCAATTTGTCCCTAATGCAGATCCCTTATTATTATGTTAAAATTAATTTATCTATCATGCTTTGTATTTTTTTATAATTCCCAACCAATGGCTGACGCTCTTTCAGACCGGCATTGCTACCAATTATTATGTTATTTCCGATAACAATTTTTAATGTCTTCAGTTGTCAATATTTTAACATTACTTCAATATGTTTCAAGATTTGATTTCTGTTTCAGAGCCCACTTGAATGATCTAGAAAACATCCCTATCTTCCTATCGACGGGTGCGATGTATTTATTGACGAAGCCTCATCCTCTCCTAGCATCTACATTTTTTCTGTTGTTTACCCTGGCCAGATTATATCATACATTCGTCTACGCCATTAGGATTAGTCCTCAACCTGCCAGGATGATAGCTTTCAGAATTGGATACATCATCAATATTTGTATTATTATTCTCACTGTTTTAAAAGTAGTTTTGTATTAAATGCACAATTTACCCTATGGAACATGCTAATGTTGGAATACATTTGATTACCTCTTTTATTGTGGACTTCAACTATTTTGCCAGAGGAGGAAAAGATGTTACAGATATGAGTTAATATGTGATAAAGTGAAAATACCACTTTATTTACATATACATATACATTCGTGGTCATAGAAATTGCATCACACAGTAAAAATTATATTTTATTTACCAGATTGCTATCTGCATAAATATGAGTATTTCTTTGCAAGTTTTGAAGCGATATTCTAAAACAATCGCACCAAGCGGTCAAATTGTTCATTTGTTTTGTTTTTTCCAACCAGTTCCTTTCTTTCACTCCATGATGTCCTGAGAAAGGTTTTTTTTTTTTTTTCAAATTTAAGACTATGGTTGATTGGTGGCACCATTTCCTCTTCCTTATTTTCCACGGAAGTTCCTTCACTTCAGGTAACGTCACAATTTTAATATTTTCTGATGAGGACAGTTGTTTGAAACCGGACATAATTACAGCTTTTATCGTGGCATCAGTTAAAACTGAATCGAGAAACCTAGTTAAAGTTTTCTTGTAACTAAATAAATAATGATTGGAATCAATGTTTTCAAAAGAAATAGATAATGCAATTTCTATGACCACGACTGTATATCAGCATATACACAAATATATATGTGCAATAATAATAATAATTTTTATTTTAAACACATTAATAAAAGTCACACATCACAAGATAATTGACTGTGTGTCCATTAATAGTTATGTTAAATTAGCCCAAAACATTGTTAAATAGAAGAGAGAAAAAAAGAAAGAAAAAGAAGAAAAAAGGGATTTCTAAAAGGCCTACTTGGTGGGGAATCATATTAACGTAATTTTTTGTTCTTCTTCCTAGATGTCTCAGTAAATATTGGATTTAGTGAAACATAACCCGTATATAAAATTAAATTAGAGTGAATTCACTCCACAAAAGGTCCTAATCGTTTTTTCTCTATTGGTTATCTTTATAGAAATGAAGTCGAGGAAGATTGAATATACATACATATAGAATACAATAGAAAATAACTTTATTCTGGGAAGTGCTTTAATAATAAAAGAAAAAAAAGAATAACATCTGACCAGAAAACTTGTTACATTTAAAAGTAGCTAGATAAAAAGCTTTAAGTAAATAAACTATAAATACAAAATCAAACCAGTACTTAGACTGGTTAAAGGCCCACTGAGAGACCGCCGTACACCACGCAGCCGAAGGCAAAGTGGGGGAAGATGGGCGAAGAAACTAGGAGACTCCAGATAGGTCCGGATAGAAGATGGCGGAAGCGATGGAATAATTTGATAGTGGAAATTGGTCGTCGAGCGATGTGTGAAATGTGATAATTCCAGGAGAGGGTTTGATCAATGAAAAAACCTAAGTTTTTAACAGAGGAGTAAAAGGTAATGGGTTGATCAATTAGGTGAAGTGTGGGAAAAGGGGAATTGGATCGGAGGAGGAGCTTGGAACCACTGACAATGGCCTGAGTTTTAGCAGCATTTAACCTTAATTCGTTTATGTTTGCTCAGGCACTGATTCGATCTAGGTCTTCTTGGATCTTAGTAAATACTACCAATAACTCAGGGGGAGAAAAGGTTAGATATATTTGAGAATTGTCTACATAAAGGTGGTGGGAACAATAGAAAATTGAGTCATGCAGTTCGTTAATATAAGAGTTAAAAAGGAGAGGAGATACGCTATATCTCTGGGCAACTGCAGAGGATAAAGAAAGGTAGGCAGTTAATGGTTGATTAGATATGGAGACTGCTTGGGTAAGTTGTGAGAGGGGTTGGAGGGAGGGATGGCCGAATGGGCTAACGTGTGTGCACAGCACCGCCGTTGCCCGGCAACCTAATCTATGAAACAATGGATTTAAAATAGTCACGAGTTCGCATCCCGGTGCCGAAGGAGTTTTTAAATCCCCACTCACACCCCTGGCCCGAGAATACCCCGTATAGCCTTAAAGGCGAGGAAGGAGAGGACCCCCCCAAAAAAAAAATTGTGAGAGGAAATATGGGAACCAAGAGATGGAGCTATTGGAGAGGGACAATGATTTTAGTTTGTTGTAAAGGATGGAATGGTTAATGGAATCGAAGTCTTTGCAGAAGTCGAGTAGTATAAGGACAGTTTAGGAGTAAATGGATAAAGGCAATAATTAAAACCTATATTATTATGTTTTTTCTTGATGTGCACAATTAACATAAAATGAATTAAATAAACTTTCTATATTGTTTTACATCAGCAAAACATTCTTGAAAAATTATCTTCAATCGAACCCATATCAAATTATTTCTCATAGGCGACAATGTCTCCTGTTATAGATATTGGTGCTGCGATTCGATGGTAGTCTAATTCTGTTAAGGTGTTGTCTGAAAGACGGGAAATCTTGCAGGTCCGGAAGTCCATGTTGCTCGGCTTATGTAGGCCACTCAGCATTTTTAAAATTTCTTTGAGCCATTTGAAATGAGAATTTTCGACATTTGACAGCCTTTTTCGTTTGCTGGGTGTGGTCATTCAACTTCACATGTTTAACAAGCTTATCAATTGTTTTGTACATGATATGGTATCGTGAAATCTATCGCATTGCATGCATCTTGGATCATGGTTACAGTAAGATTTAGTGGGTCCATATTGTTGACACCTCATTGAGGAATCATTTTCTTTTAACTATATTTTTATGCATGAATAATACATAGATTCGATATTGAATATTTCTTTCTGAAATATTTCTTTACTGATGTCCATGAAGAATGTTGTCTAAGGGATACTCTAATCGGAATAAAGCATCTACAATGCTAGTTGCCTCGCAACCCATTTCTTTCAGGTCTTCTTTGAATGTGACTTTCTTACTAATTTATATTAATTAATATCATATTTTTATTGTTATATTCATCTCTCTTCCTCTATTTAAACATGGGGTAATAGACTATTACTTCTTGAAGTTCTATTAAATGTAATTACTCGAACGATAAATTTTTAACATTTTGTTTATAAGACATGGTTATATTTTACTTTTTGGGGGGAGGAGAGGAGAGGTTTCAGCCTAAAAGCCTCTCCCTCAGATCCGCCTATGCCTCCAAAGGTAGTGCACTCCAAGCCATATGGCAATCAAGGGTGCCCAGAAAGGCGTTTCATGGCGCAAGTTGCATAAGCAATATTTTTGAGGGAAAGAGGCATATTTTAACGGGTTTTTAAATTTTCGAGGGGGACACATTTTGACGGAGATATGAATTTTCGGAATTACAGTTTCAGACTAAGGGACAAGCGGAAAACATGGGATAGATCGCTGCAAGTGTAACTGTGTATGATCTGCGATTTTTCTAATTCTATGTTCGCTTTCTCTGTTTTGAAGAAAATATGGTCAATAAAACATCTTACGAGAGCGAGGGAGGGGGAGGGGAGGTAGGTTTTTGCGCCATCGATCTTGGGGTGAATCGGTACTCCTGATGGTAATTGAAGGTGAACAAAGTTCATGAAATGGATAGAGAAAAGTGAAAGCCAAAAGTTGAAAAAACATGGTAAACAATACAAAATTTCTTGGTAAAATCCATTTCTAGCGGACTTAAAAGGCTTCCAGCCTTCTACTGATTGACAGATTCCTATTTCATTGTTTAATAAGATTTAAGCTCGACATGTTTTGAAAACAACTTATGTTAAGTGAACTTTCATCTTCCTTCAATACCAGTATTTTCAATAAAACAATCACGAACCGTAAAATTTTATTAATGTGAACTAATTAATAGCACCTATTAAATACTTTACCAAAATACACTTTTTTATTTAAAAAAAAAGCTTCATCAAGACAATAATGTTTAAAAATTATTAAATAAAAATTCAACTAAGTATTTCCAATAGCAGCACCATCAACAGCAACAATATGTCAATCTTGGACGGGAAATAGAAAAAAACAACTTTAATTTATTTTTAATTTCCGTCGACACTATCCTCAAAATTATAGATAATAATGAAACATTGATGGGGTCTTTTCTGATGACAATTTACTCTAGTTTAATTTTGTAGAGGAGTCTTTTTTTTTCTCAATAGAGAGAAATACCACAACATTGCAGGGCTGCTGAACTATATTGAGTTGCTAAATAACATAGCGTACTCATCAGTCAATAAATACTACTGTGAAAAAAAATTTAAGAGAGAGTTAAGTTTGACCATTGGAATACATATCAGATATGCCAAGAATGGTCTGTAGAATCAAACAATTGGAGGCCTAGATTTATATACGTAGTGATTGAGGATTCTCAATGAGCCTGCAACTGCTCCCATCCAACAATGAGCCCCAGCAAGAAATTACTTGTATTAAGAGAGATGCTTCCCCTGCTTCCGAACCATAGCCCTTCAATGGAGATTTACCTCTCGCCAAATTTGTCTTTGTACTTTTCCTTCAGGTACGGTTAATATAAATTTACTTTCTCTGCCTGTACCTTAAGTCCTGATCCTAATCATTGGTTTCAAATCTGATCGTGAGATCCACTATGAGTGCCTCCTTTTCAGTCGCACTGAGCCAAAATGGCAATGAACCTTGTTGAGCCTTCTGTATCTAGGCAATATATTTCGAGGAAACATTAATAGTTCTTAACTTCAAGGAATTTGGCTATACAATGCTTTATATTGTTGTACCAGCAAAGAACATGTTATGTGGACAATTGCCCAGCACGAGAGCTGGAGTTTCTGACTCTTGGCCACATTTATGGCACAAGGGTCCAACATATCTATTATGTGCCAATTGGCATTTCCTTATCTCTGTTTGGTAAAAACTAGAATTTAAATTAAAATAACAAGAATCAATTATTTTCTATAATATAAATATGACAAATTTATATAATTTATTGGTGATTGTTTGTGAAACAATGAATTTTCATCATGTGGATGGATATGTGTTAATAATAATATTATTTGGAATTGCCCAATAATTTGATGTTCCACCGTTTAATAAATAAAGTCTCTTTTCATTCAAAGAGTTTCCAATTTAATTCAATCTCCATTTTCTTCAAAATTAGAAACGTTAAGCCATCCCCAAGTTACATGTTTTCCTTCAGCATAATACTGCCCTTAATATTTTCAAAGTTTGATGCCCTTCCTGGCTATTTCACTTATTCTACCAAGTTATAAATTATATAAGAACTTCATTCCCTAAAGATAACCAGAAAGTCATGATCCTAGAGTTATTATTGTGAATCAACCTCCTTCTCATCAGTGATTCTCTCCAAAGGGGATCTACAGGGATTTCCCTCCTTACTCTAATTAATAATGAAAATAATATATCTAATTTTATACTTGTCCCCAAAACACTCATATCTAAAGATAGAAATTTACCTACTCATCCAATCTCATTGAGGTGTCAAGTAACCTTAAATTCTGAATAATTATTAGCATTAACTGCTAGGCAGTAGAAAATAAGTTTTGTTTAAAAAAAGGGATGCCATCCCCATCAGTGCAAAATCGTCTACTATACCTTTCATTAAAATATGATTTCTACTATAATAAATATAATTCTGAGTGTTGCAATAACATTTATTGTCTAAAATATTTAAATACATAAAAGAAACAGTTCCTAATTTATAATAATTACTAACAACGGTATAAGAAACATACTAGTTCACATAGAATTGAGTAATCTTTGAAGTGCATGTGGAACTGAAAGATAGTATGTCTTATAAGAACATCACTTATGAATTAAAATAAAGTAAAAGATAGCTTGACAAACATCAATTCAAATACAAATTAAGGAATTAAGTCAAAAAATAAATAAATACTATAGCTTTATTAACAAAATATAAAAATATTCACATTTATTTCTTCACAAATTTAAGTTTAAGGAACGGCGTACTTCACTTCATCAAAAGCCTTTCTAGCTTTTTTAAGTTCTTCATTCATGGTTAGTAAATCTTTTACCCTGGCATATTTTCTTTGGTCTTTTCTGACAAGAAAGATAATATCTTCCACCTGTACTCTACCAGTCCTTCCTATTTCCATTGCCTGATGTGTCTAAAAATAAATAAAATAAACTGATGAGATTGTGTAATAATAAAAATCTAAACATTTCTTTCTGAAATGTGATAAAAAAGATACAAATAGTTGAATATATATATATCCTATGTGTTGAATATTTAGGAATAAATAGAGTTAATAACTGTGGCAAGTAATCCAATTAGGAAGGAAGATACTTCTTCGTTAATTTTTTATAATACCTGACGATTTATTGATAACTATTTTGATAAACATTATTAAAATTAGGACCATTTTAACAACTGATTTGATTATAGTATTGAAAATTGAAAAGCTAATGCGATGAGGTTAAACATTTATTAATACAAAATTAATTATCAACAAAAAATACTAGTGCTCTACTTTTTATATTTGTCTCTATTTACCACTATAAAAGATAATATGTGGTTAAATTGAAAGGATAAGAAATCAAGGGGTTCAAGTCAAATTTTGACCAATATAATTGTTGGGCTAAAATTAAAGGTATACGTCAAATATCTAAACCTTCCTATTATTAAATAAAAAATAATTTTGTGGACAGATGTATAATGTTTAGATTATAATGCAAACCAAATATAAAAAAAGCATAATTTTTATGTTTTCAACCCATGATAATCATGAAGCCGTTATTGAGGTGGGCTAGTACTGACATAGGTGACTATAGGCCTCTACCACACCATTCAGTGCTCATAAATGGCTTAGCTATAGTGCTATAATAACGCTTTGGTACTTTGTATTGATTGTAATAACCAACAAATATCAATGCAATAATTTAATTGTCAAAAAAATTAAACAATTTTTTTTTTAATTTATTACTTTTTTTTTCAAATTTAACATCCTTTATTCTATAAACTGAACCCAAAAATTGGAAAAATATATTAAGCGAATGAGTGAGAAAGTGCCAAAATCTCGGAAGAGAAAATAAGGATCAGTATCCATTAATTATTTGGCTAAACGAATATATAATAGACAGATGAACAGAATATTTCAAGATGCTGCTAACGTTTGCAATTTAACACTTTGTTTTGTATATTTACTGATTCTTAGAAGTAATTTAAATTATAAATACTTCCCTGGAAATGAGTCATATTAATACCTGTTTTATAAACTAAAATAATATATACCTAATCTGAACTACACATAATGAATAGTTTAGTAAAACTCATCTATCACTAATAAAAAAATTAATTTGTATTTCCTTTCCTTTATCTTGTTCGGTAGTGGGACCGTATCATAAGAAAATAGGAAATTTTAATATTTAATGCATTATTCACTCTGCACAAAGCAAGATGGAAAGGGCGAAGCTATAAGTTCTTTTAGATAACTGGAACTGATTGTTAGTATTTGGTCTCAAAATGAGGGAAAACACGAAATTGAAACCAAAAATTGGAAAAATATATAAGCGAACGAATGAGGAAGTATCAAAATCTTGGAAGAGAAAACAAGGATCAGTATCCATTATATGGCTAAACGAATCTATAGTAGTTTGGTTGATATTAAGGGGACAATGCAGGTTTATTATGGTGAAGACCATTTCATCAGCAAGAAAGATTTGTTCGAAGCAATTGGCAAGTCAGCAGGTCTATTCGGACATTGGCTTTTTTAAAATAAATAGTTAAAAGGAACAAAAGGATATGCAATTTATAGGATTGTGGGGGGATTAGGGAAGGTGCATGGTGGGGGGGGGGAGGGTCTGACCCGCCGGGTATTAGCTATTTCAGATTATTAAATAAGATTTTCATTTTTTAGATGATTTACTATTTCATATTTTCAAAACTTCAAAATTTACAATGTTTTGGTTATATTACATGCATAATATCTAAAAAAAAAAAACACACTTTTTAAGTTTCTAACTGATGATAATCACGACAATTTTGAATAGCTTACAATAATTATAACCTTAGAAATTTCATTAAAACAATAGTGATGGATACAATAATAAAAATAAAAGTAGGAAACGAATGATAAGTTTTTAACAGAACTTCAAGATCAACTCAATAGTACACGATCAAAATTTAATAAATGAAATAATCAAGATTACAGAAAAGTAGTGAAATACGTGGATTTTTATTATCCTGTGTGAAATACAGAAATTAATAATTGTTACTAAAATTTTAACTAAATATCTCAGCCCTTTCCACCCTTTCATATAATCTGTTGTTTTCATGAACATAACATATTATTAAAAAATATGTTGTATATACTGCCATAAATAAAAGACATAATCAAGGCTAAATAAATTTTTTTTTTAATATAATTCGTTTAAATTTTTGAAGAATGATTGCGTCATTGGTCAGAAACTTTGTGAAAATATCTAAAAACAACCTTAATTAAAAAAACTCTGGTGCACACAACACACAACTTCCACTTACCACTCTACTTTGAATAGAAATTATTTTCTGACAATGTTGGACTGTTATAATTTTTGAAGTGCATTTTAAATAAGAAATAATAAATAAAGCTTAAATCTTACAGATAACAAACCATTAAAATAACAAAAACTCTATTTATTATATCGACAGTAGATAATAAAAATCTAGTTACGCCATCTGTTTCCGTAAACCACTTAACTTCAGTATCTGAGCTATGCATATCTTTCAGATGACAGAATGACTAACTCTAATTTTAATATTTTTCAGTAAAATCATTTTAGTGATATTTTTTGTAGGAGAAATTATATCTACACAGACAGTGACTAAGTTGATTCCAGAATTGGTGATTGCAGTGTTAAAATATAGAACTGTGAATAAAGGTGAAAATTTCTCGCTGCTAGAAACGCCACCAAAATTAACAATAAAGAATGTTGAAATTTGAGTCATTCTGTCAATTGAACGGCTTATGTATCATTATGAAAGCCTATAAATGATTAAGTATTGTAGGATTATAAGTTATTAAACAGTTATTTATCATTGTAAAGTTTACTAAAATGAAATTACGAGATTTTCATTGCCTACTAGAGATAGAACAAAAGGTGTCACACTTGTAATTGGATAATGTTGACATATTACAAAGGAAAAATTAATCAAATTATTCACTGATTTAGTTTTCTAAAAGGGTACTTGATAAATAAAACTTTCCCTTACTATATATTACATAGTAAGGCTTCACCATCAGCACATTATAATTTAATAAGTGAAACTATAAGTAAGAATTTTTCAGCAATAAACCTCTTCTATTGTAAGATGTAATTACTGTTTTAAAACAATAAAATCTATAAAATATTCAGATAATAGACTTAACCGATATTATAATATAATATGAATTTGACTTTCGAGAGCAGAAATTAAAAAAATTAAAACACATTTCTGGGTAATATTGAGGGTTCATAGTACATACATTCCATCAGTTAAATACAAAAAGTTACTGAATATATTTTTCATAGCCAAACTTTTGAGAACATACATCTCTGGCCATTCTCTCAATTTCTTTCTGGTAGTAGTTAGCAATTTCATCTTCTCTTAATCTATGCGCCTTAACCACTTCTATTTGGGCCCTTCTTGCATGCTTTCTGTTTCTTCTCTTCCCTTTCCATACCAGATCCATTTTTAACAAGTTGTGGTCGCTTCCTATTTCAAATCCTCTTTTAACTCGCACGTCTATCACATCTTTGAGAGATTGTTTCTTAACAAGAAAATAGTCTATTACAGACTTTTCGTTTCTACTCAGTTCCTCTATCGTAAATTTGTGTGCATTTTTATGAGGGAATTTGCTATTAGCGACGATCATACCATTGTTGGCACACAGTTGGAATATTCTTTCCCCATTATCGTTCTTGACATCTTCTCCATGAGACCCTAAAATATCCAGCCACAAGTGGGAATCTCTTCCAACCCTGCCGTTTAAGTCTCCGACGACAATGGATTCTCCATGCGCATCATCTATTTCTCTCTGAATACATTCAAAGAATTCTTCCTTCTCTGTGGCTATGGCGTTATCGTGCGGTCCGTAGACCACAATAACAGTCTTTAAGGCACCTCCATCTTTTATGTCAATCACCATCAACCTATCACTCACGAATTTCCATTCTTTGATCACTGTATTCATTAAGGCTTCCCTAAACATAAAACCTATACCTCTACTGGTTATTCTTTCTTTAGTGGTCCCCGAGTACAGTAGAATGTTATCTCTAATCCTCTCTTCGCCTTTTCCCCTTCCCTTCTCTTGATCTCAGTTATTGCTACCAGATCAACCTTTGCCTTGTTTGCATTATAAGTTAACAGTATAGAGACCAACCCGTGGAGAAAGGAAAGGCTTTCGGACTAAAGTCCACCAAAGCTAAATACTTAAATAATCACGATATGCACTCATTTTATATTATAATGCATATAAACTGAAGCTTCCATAGAGAGGGGATGCCCACAAGGATCAGTTCTTGGCCTCGCTCTATGGAAGCTAGTATTTGACGAGTTGCTGGGAGTTCTAGAAGATGAGTGGTTCCCTGCCATTGGCTACATAGATGATTTGGCCATAGTGGTGTCCTCCAACAGCAGAGCCGGCTTAAAACTACAAGCAGAATGATGCGGCAACTTGGTTGGAGAATGGTGTGAGAGGAAGAAGCTGACTATGGCTGCTTCAAAGACACAGGCCATTCAATTGAAAGGAAAAACTGCTAGGGCACACCCAATCAATAAAATGATTGACGGAACAACAATACGTCCAAGTGAGGAGGTCATCTATCTTGGTGTCAGATTCGGAAGAGATTTCAATGTTACTCCTCACTTGGACTACCTGCGGAATAGAGTGGCCCAATATCTGAACGGCCTAAGTCGAGTAGGGAGTCTCAAATACCCAGCAACCATGACCATTTATAAAGGTATGGTTGTAGGTATACTGAGGAATGCGTCCCCTGCATGGAATCGGGGGCACCGAATCCTCTCGCACCGACAAAAGAGCAAGTTGGCGACAATCTAGCGAACGGCTCTGCTGCGAATCACCAGAGCGTACAGGACTGTTTCTCATGAGGTGGTGAAGTTACTAGCGGGAGGAGTGTCTCTCGAACTCCTCCTGCGGAAAGATATATTCAGGTACATATATAAGAAAGAAGGTTCAGCAAGTCTACTGGGAAAACTCAAAGAGAGAATAGACGAAAACCCCATAATTCTATTATCCGAAAGAATACAATTAAAGTGTGGAATCAGTGGGGGACAAGACCGAAAGGGACCACTCTGAGGAAGTACTTTCCCACCGTTTAATCACGTCTGGAAGCCAAATGGGTCCTCCCGGATTACTGGCTCTCATAATTCCTTACCGGGCATGGGGGCTTTCGAGACAAGCACCATGGATTTGGAAAACATGTTGATCCTCTATGCCCTACCTGTGGGATCCCGGAGACTGATGAACACATTATCATAAACTGCACCGCCTTTGAGTTGCTAAGGGCCAAATTGGTGAGGGAGACCGGTCACTATATTCTCACAGAATCTGATTTCCCTCAACTAGTTACGGAAGAAAACTACTGGTACTACAAAGAATTTGAGTACGGGTGAAAAGAAGCAATAAAAGAAGAGGAGTGGAATAAGGCAATAAATAGCAAATCTGCATACGAAAATTAGTCTCGTTGCAGAAGCAGGCAGTTATGCAGTGACGTGTAACAACCCAGTTCTGCAAAACCCATATTGCCTAGAATTTCTTAAATACATTTAAGGTAAATGGATATAGTACAATAACTTAACCATCACCTTCACCATGACAATGAATTACGGCAGTCTGAGATAAATTGAATAATAATTATCATTTGAAAAATACCATATCAGTAATATATTCAATAACAAGGTCCTCCAGTAGATCAACACTTTCAGTATAGGGGTTTTGGTCATCACCGAATCCATACATCATGCACCTTAATTCCTTGGAAAATAATCTTTTCTTTCCTGAGAGAGGGATACCATCAGGCTCATCTTCATCAAACTGAAAGATGCAAACAAACATTAATCAAAGAAGCAATTATTAAATGCAAAGCTTAAATTAAAATTACCTGATCATAACCATCTTCTGCCATATTGAAAATGGTTTTGATTGTGATTGTCAACGGATGGTACTGGTGATTGTTGATGTCTCAGTAGGTTACAATGGTAAAACAAAGAGGTTCTCTCTTCTAGGTTCATCTTCGATTAGGGTCATGCATTATGATTTATACACAGATAGCGATTGGAAAAAATAGTTCTTCCATTTTATATAAAAAAAAATTTTTATATACTTATTTGCGAACATTTAAAAATTTTATTTGTGAATTTAGTTGAAGTTATCTATCTTTCAATCTTAAAGGCACTGAAGATTTTCAGATGAATGTAGACCGGTATGTACGTGATTTAACCTATACTTTTATCACTCAATGTTTACTATTTAATTTATTTATTTTTATACTTACATTTTATATGATATGATTTTTCGAGTTAAATGTTCTTATTGATATGATATTATTTTTTAAATCAATTCGAACTGACAGTAACCAATTGCTTTTGAGGTAATTATATTTTAAATATGATTACATATTTATCTATCATTTTCTTCGATATTTAATTATCTATTTATTTCTCATGTTTCAGCTAAAATGGAAGTTTTAAATGATGATTTGTTTACTTTGCCACTGGTATTGGATTCAACTGAAAATAATTCTGTTAGTTTATCGAATTATAATGGCTTGCAATTAGAAGTCAAAGACCAATCAGTACCTTTAGTTATTCTTGAAAATGGAGATATAATGTTGCAAAACATCACAGGTATGTTTTTAACTAAGTATTTATTAATTGACATTGCTTTACTCTCATTGTTTCTGCCTGTTAATTTTAGATTGCCCCCTCTTACTCTCCAACAGTTTGGCAAATGGGAATTATATGACTGATGAAGATGTTTTCATTAAAGATTCTGATTATAGATCAAGCGAAACCACTATTGATTTCATTAAAGAAGTATGGCAATTTTTAGTTATTTATAGTAGTATTGTTTCCATTGTGTATAATTTATTTTAAACCAGATTTAAGTATTTAAAATTTTATTAGAGACATACTTTAAAATTAATTAGATATATTAAAACATTTGGTAGCCTTTGTAAAAAATATTGAACTGTAATATAACAGCAAATGTAAATCTGATGGTTTCAAATTCAGTAGCATATTTAAGTAATAGGATTGAGAATGTGATGGCTGAGCTTGTTAAGGTGTTATCATCTACAATCTTAATTGATTTGGATCCGGCCTTAGGTAGGTTGAAATTTATTAGTGATACTGCAGTAGTGTTATGTTCAATTGACAGGTCAGCTAAAACCATGCGATAACATTGTTCCTTTAATCGAAAAGCAAGCTGAATGTATCTTTTTCGGCAAAGTAAGTTATGGTTTCCATACAAACAACTAAACGATTCAGGCCAAATAAAGTGGCTATATTGTGTGATATTGATATAATGTAATACAAGAATTAAAGTATTTGATAGTTCACAAGATTTCCGCTCAGATTAGGCTTGATTCACTATCACTTCGGTCACAGTTGTTCATGAAACGATGAAAACATATATTTCTTTCATAAAACTTCCTTATTAACTATTTACTAAAATCATTAACAATTATTTTTACAACGTTAATTACTCTGGAAGAACAACAATAATGCTTCACCAGCAACTCTGCAAATCGTGGTGCAGCTAGCGCCTATATGAGGATAGAAATTGGATTGCAATAGATTGGATTTTGGATAGCAATAAATAAATAGTGTTTCTGTATTTATAGCCATTGTAGACGACGGCAAGTGAGGTCAAACAGGAAATGGGTACACTGCCACTGTTAGTGCTTCCTTCAATGCTATGAGCTTGAGAGGAGATCAACGTTCAGGACGTCCAAAAACTGCAACTACCGATGAAAACATCGCCAAAATTCACCAAATGGTGCTAGACGACCGCCGAATTAAAGAGAGAGATAGCAGAGGTTATGAACTTGTCAAAAGAACGTGTTTGTTACATATTAAATGAACATTTAGATATGAGAAAGCTGTCTGCACGTTGACGCGTTGTAGGTGCCGCATTTCCTCATGTTAGACCAAAAATGAGGAAATGAACATTTCCTACGCTCTGTTGGTGCAGTTTAGACGCAATAAATCCGAGTTTTATTGCCGATTATTTACTATAGGTGAAACTTGGATACACCATTGTGCACCCAAAAAAATTACAGTTCAAACAGTGGACTGCAAAGGGGGAACGGCTCCAAAAAAAGCAAAAGCTGTTTTCTTGGCTGGGAAAGTGATGGCGACTGTTTTTTGCGATAGTCATGCAGTTATTTTAATCGACTTATCTTCAAAAAGGAAAAACCATTACAGAAGCATACTACACATCATTACTTGACAAGCTGAAGGCAGAACTTGCTGAAAAATGGCCACATTTGCAGAAAAAGAAAATCCTGTTTCACCAAGACAGCACACCATCCCATACATCACCGGTTGCCATGGTGAAAATCCACAAATTATGGTTTGAACTGCTTGATTATCCGTCTTACACCAAGCGACTTCTTTTTGTTCTCTTACCTAAAAATTGCGCTCGGAGGACAGAGATTTTCGTCAAATGAAGAGGCAATCACCTTCATGAACAATTATTTTGCAGAGAAAAACGCCAAGTACTTTTTGGACGTGTTACAGAGAAGGGAGCATTGCTGGTAGAAGTGTGTAGAGTTACAAGGAGACTATGTTGAAAAATAAAAAAAAATTCAGAAAAAATGTTTTGTATCTTTGTTAGGTCGAAAACTTTTCAGACTATCCTCGTAAGGGTTCAATTGTGGATCTAATTGTGCAATTTAAAATTCAACAACATCTTCTTAAAAAGTGCCCCCTATAGCATAATAGTGTACCCGTATATCAAAGAAATCCAAAAAATTTTCTAATGAAATTTTTATATGGTAAATAACAAATAATAGGTAATTGATGAATCAGACTATTGGTATATAATGAATAACAAATAAATCACCTGTTAAAAGTAAACAAATAATAATAAGTATCTATTAATCCTTATCTAGATAAATACTTATTTGACTAACCCCCAACCTCAACGGAACCTGTAGATTTGCCAGTTTATATCTGAGGTGAGAAACTTGCGACCTAGAGGCCACATGTGGCTTTCGTGAGTTTGCCGTGGCCCTAGAGGCCGTATGCAGCCTCCAAATCTTTTTGTGCAGTTTTATTAAATTAGCACTAGAATTAATTAATGGTTAATTATTTATGTTATGAAAATTGAAAAAAATAAGTTGAATATCTGTATATGGGTGTGTACTTACTTATTAATAAAAATTGCATTAGTAAAATCTGAAAACAATATTGCAGCCTCCATTATCATTATCACTGCCTAACCTTACTGTGGCCTGTAATGGTAAAAAGATTTATTTTACAACAGGTAGGGAAACTGTGACCTGGTGGCATCTCTGTATGTGGTATCCATGATGTCACTGTGACCTCCAAACGTTTTTTGCAGTATTTAATCATGCAAGAAAGAGAGTGAGAGTAATTATTTAAGTGAAAAAAACTTCAAAATTAATTGAAGTAGGATTTTTTTTTTACCACTTCTACCCTAAAGGGTCATTGGTATTTTCTATAATTTATATTACATTATATATTAAATGTATATGCTTTCACATTTCCTATATATACTTTCCTCACCTGTGGTATAGTTAATCTTTTTACCATTAGAGGCCACAGTAAGGTTAGGCAGTGATAATGGAGGCTGCAATATTTTTTTCAGATTTTACTAATGCAATTTTATTAATAAGTAAGTACACACCCATATACATATATTCAACTTAATTTTTCCAATTTTCATAACATAAATAATTAACTATTAATTAATCCTAGTGCTAGTTTAATAAAACTGCACAAAAACATTTGGAGGCTGCACACGGACTCTAGGGCCACAGCAAGCCCACGAAAGCCACATGCGTCTTCTAGGTCGCAAGTTCTTCACCTCTGATATTAATTGGCAGATCTACGGGTTCCATTGAAGTTGGAGGTTATTCGAATAAGTATTTATAGATAAGGAATAATAGATAATTATTATTATTTGTTTACTTTTAACAGGTGATTTATTCGTTATTCATTATTTACAAATAGTCTGAATCATTACTTATTATTTGTTATTTACCATATAAAAATTTCATTAGAAAACTTTTTGTAACTTTTCGGATTTCTTTGATATACGGGTCTACTATTGTTTTGTAGGGAGCACTTTTTAAGAAGATATTGTTGGATTTTAAATTGCACAATTGAACCCTTACGAGGGAGGGTGGTCTGAAAAGTTTCCGACCTAACAAAAATACAAGACCTTTTTTCTGAATTTTTTTTTTTATTTTTCTACATAATCTCCTTGTAACTCTACACACTTCTTGTGTGGTGAGGTTTCCCTGATGATAGGAAACCTCAAAGCTGACCAAGGAAGTTGTATCTGGAGCATATGGACTGTTTGATGAAAAGATTTCTGCAAAGCCAGGAACTTGACTAGAAACAGAGAGTCAATCCTAGTTAGATGTTCCGTATGCTGATTACAGTAGGAATGGAACAAATTTCGATCTGTGTTTGTCAGAAGTCAAATCCATGTGATAAAATATAAAGCCTACTACCATTAATTCAATTTTGATTATATTTTTAGGTATTGTACAGGTTTTTGGAGTACTTTTATAGATGATTCATATAAACTTTAGCAAATTCCATCCACAACTTTTGCCTAATCATGCATAAACGTATTTTCATTTACATTTTTAAAACGACTTTTCTGATTTGACCCAAAGTTAGAGGAATGTTGGGGAGACCGGTGTGAAAATGGTCCAGTATTTTTCAAATTCCGTATATTGCTTACACCTGCGCAAACATATTTCCTTTGTCTTGCTTTTATTTCTATGCAATTTGACTCAAAGTTAGGAATTATTTTGGGAACAATTAATCCAGTATGAATTTTCATCAAATTCCTACCACTTATTTTAGAAAGTCTCATCCCTTAAATTTTATTCTAAAACTTATAGAAATAGTGAAAAAGCTATACAGCCCTACTTTTCAGACATTTTAAAAATCGTACTGCCATATGTTTTATCTCAATGAGTGGGTTTAATGGCTAAGTGTTTGTGCCAATAATGCTTCCTAATTTTGAATACAGTTTATATCTAATCTAGTTAACTGAAATTTCAGTTAATATTTTTTACTTTTTTAGGATGGTGTGGGAGTTAAGAGTCCCAGTTCAGACCATATTGAGGTAAATACTGATAATTTATTGATAGAAGACTTAGTAGAAACTGTCATAATATACAAATGCAGATTGTGCCCTTTTAAAGCTACTGACAGAGCTTCTCTTTCCACACATTTAAAAACATTACATCTAAAGGTAAATTTTATTTTATTGTGACCATTTTGAATTTTTTTTTTTTTTTTATTAATATAATTATATTATTTTAATAATTGTTTGCTTTTAGAATGCAGAAAAAGGAGACAGTTTGATCAAAAAGGGTATGATTGAGCTACTTATTGTTTTTAATAAGTATTAAATTTTTTTTAGCACATTGATATAATTGGGAGGTGCTTGACATCTAGTTTTTAGTTAGAATATGATGTTTTAGTCAGGATAAAAACCACATAGATATTTTATTTATTTATTTGGAAACATATCAAGTAGTTTTTTTTTTTATTTTTAGAATGAGGAAACCTCGAATAGGTAATTAAAGCAACTTAAACTGTGCGCAAACAACTAGAATGTAACAGGGAAAGTTACAGATGAATCTTATCAAATCTACTTAGTTGATACTACTTGTTTTTCAAATTCTTTGGCCATTTCTATTTGTCAATCTTCACATTTTTCTTTCAAGAACTACTTATTCCATACTTGTTAAGTAATCATCTACACTATATATAATACCATAATATGCATCCCTTTCCTGGCTCTCAGGAGCGATTTATCTTGATGAATGAGCTATCAAACAATAGGGAATATCGTGGAGAAGTGACAAATCCTAATTTAAAAACTTAAAACCTTACTACAATTACTATAAAATTCATAGAAAAAATTAGGAGGTTTCAAAAGTCAACAGATTGAGGCAGGATTAATGTTTTTTTAAACATTTTTATGCAAACATCATGACCCAATATAGGTCTACATAACTATAATGGGCCCTTCGTCTTAAAGCTCTAAAATTTACCCTTTTTGAGATAAAACATAAGGTCAATGTTATACTAGCGATTGCAAATCTTGATACCACTGTTACCATTCCTAATTACATAATAATATAAATATCTGCTTTATCTTATATCTCAAATTTTTTTTTTTTTTGTCGGTAGACCATATCTTTGTAAATGCTTCATCGAATCCAATGGTTGAGGCTTCATTTTCACGATTATCTTCTCCTCCTTGTGGGGAAAATAGTCATCTCCAAAAATATTCAGGGAAAAAGTTAAGAAGAAAAAGAAACTTTATAGGCGCTTAAGAAACTGAAAGAATATGCAATTTTTGGTGGATTACACCCAGTTTAACTTAAAAGTTTACTAAATTCCTGACAAAACAGAAAAAAAATGAGGCCGTTGTAAGCCAGGCCTGTATACAGGCCTTAGTAATTTGTGTGTTTTGGTTTATTCTTGTGAATGAACTTTTGTAATTTGTCTAAAAAAAAAAGAAAATTAATTTCTCCGTCTTATAATACAAGACGTTATCTTATTTCTATACTATTTTGTCATTTCTTCACTGATCAATATACTATGGGAATTATTCAAATGGGGCAACTAGTACTATTTTATCAGTGTATCGATGTAAATAACGAATATAAGAGAATATATAATTATTTATGATTGTATATGCAGGAAAATGAAGACTATATCAATAAAAGTCTGAGAGCCAAACCAATTGAGTCAGAAAATTCGCTAGCTATCAGTGCGACCAACCTAAAAAGCGCCATAAATTTCATATTCCTTAATAGAGTCAATCAATATTAATGACTATATATGCAGCTGCTGGCAATGGCATATATTGATGTCCATTCTTTTAATGTACATAAAGTCTGAACAAAACAATTATTCTTTGGGTTCTTGTGTCACATAATAAAATTATTTTCATTTAATTTGAATGATAAATTCCTCATTATTTGTATTTATGATATTATCATTAATAAATTCCTCCCTTTTCCAGTTTCTCATTGTATAATAATTTCTCAATTTTTTTTTTTTTTCCCTTGTTTCATCTAACCCATAGAGGATCTTAGGTTCAGTCCTTTTTAAAGAAATACTGTTTCTTGGTTAATGATTTTCTAAGGGTGTGATTTGACTGAGATTATGGTCAACTACCAGGTTTTCTTCCTTAATTATTTAACTAAGAGTACCCTCTTCTTACAGGTTGGGCCCGATCCCAATGTCAAACCATGGCTTCTGTAATAGAACAAATCAACAAACCTGCCACAGCTTGGTTAGAATCTGGAGCCCAGAGCATAGGAGTTTAGTACCTTACTCACTGAGCTACCCTGCTGCATCTATAATCAATATTTGAGGCAAATTTATTATTTTTATTGTGATGAGTAATTTTTCATCAGCCATTGAGTCGATGAACCCTCCTAGGGCATACCCAGCCTCTATAATGTGGGTACTCTTAATTAAATTTATGGGTACTCTGATTTATCTTTATCTTTACTTTTTATGTTTGTTTTTATCTGGCCAGATGTAAAATTTTAATTTCTGTACTTTTTTGTTATTCTGAAGGGACTTCGTCCCAGAATAAAATTATTTTCTATTCTATTCTAAATAATTAATTAAGGGGGAAAACCTAGCGGTTGAGTGTGATCTTGGCCCAATTACCTTCCTGCACAACTGTTTAGCCTTGTAACAGTACTCCCTCAACTAGTACTGAACCCAAGACCCTTCTTGGGTTGTAGTGGTACTGTTTTTTTTTTTTTGTTTTTTTGGATCATAACTATGTAAATAAATAAAATAATAAAATTGTTTTTTTGCATGAATTTCAGAAAATACCAGTAAAGAAGCCTTATCAGAAAAAATGGCCTTTATGTGTGGAAAGTGCTCTGAGGCATTTGCTTCATTCTCTGATTGGAGGTCTCATATGGCTATGGTATGATACTATTGATACAACCTTATTTTCTTATTAAAATATTATATGGCCACCATGTTTTTAATTTTTTTTTTTTTTAAGGTTCATGAGATAGTGATGGGAGTCAAAGATACAATTGAAAACGAAGCATTAAATGGGGGTCCACCTGTTGACTTAGAAACAATGCAAAAGAAGTCCAAACCACAGCAAATCACTCCAAAAGCTAAATATGTCATACCTACAAAAGAAAAGAAAATTGTGTATGTTGATTAACTCCATATTATGAAACACATATATGAATGCATTAATTTCGTCCTCTCTCCCCACAAAAGTGCACTTGATTGTATCGTTATTCAAACAACTTATGTCATTTAACTTTAATGATATAAGTCCTTGTTTGTGGTAGTAAATTGTAATACCTAATGTGGATGATGAATTAAAAATTAATTTTTTTTGTGTGGGACGAGTATTAATTTCTGGTAACTTTTTGGATAAAAGACTCAATTTTCATATTAATGTTAGAGAAGTTTTTTAAAAATATTATCCATTACTATAGGACTCAAATAATTTCATTGATATAAATAGAGGAGAGGGGATAAAAAGCATAAAATATGAAAACTAAGTTCAATTGCAGACAAAAAGAGTAGTGTGGCAATTGAAACATCACAGCCGCACTCCACCTAAAATTTATTTTCAGAAATTTTAATGAAAATTACAAACTATGTAATTAAACTGTGTAGCAAAGAGTGGAGTATTGCAAACATTTTATGATTAGGAAAATATAATTACAGATGAACCAATATATAATAATAATAATAAAAGGCTTAACGAACCGGAAGGTTTGATGCCGACACCACCAATCGCTTATTACACACCTCCCTCCATCGTTCGCTGTCCAAACCTATTCCCTTCAGATCGGCTTTAATGCAATCTTCCCACCTTCTCTTCGGTCTACACTTCGGACGTTTACCATTTGGTACAGCAAATATTAACCTTGTAGGAATTCTCTCGTTTCTAACGTCAACAATTTTACAGACCCATTTGATTCGCTGGGATGAAATCACCTCAATTATATTAGCCAGATATAGTTCACATGATTCGGCGTTGTGTAACTGTCTGAATTCTCCGGTTAATTCATCCTTCTACGGTCCGAATATTGTAGGCAATACTTTATTTTCAAAAATCTTAAGATGTTGCTCATCCCTTAATGTAAGCGGCCACGTTTTGCAACCATAAAGAAGTGTAGGTAAGACAATGATTTTATAGATTCTAATTTTTAAGTTGTGGGACAAGAGGCACGAGCTAAGTTCTTGCCTTCAGTCTAACCTTAATCTCTTCTTTTTTTTTTATTTCTTTATGAATTTAATAAACATGTATACATAAAAACGTCAAGTAAATTTGGACATAATTAATATAATGACATGAATACACTTTGCTAGTAAACTACCAACTGGTAGCACACTAATACTGACTACATTAGGAGAACAACGGGCCATCTCTTTTCAACGCCTCGGAGGGTTATCAGGAATTGAAGAGGATGCAAGGTTAGAAACGAGAGCGTTGGGATGATTCTGAAGTTATTATGGAAGGATAGTATCTGGAATTGACCAATTGTAAACGTCAACATTAAGATCTTTAAGGATTACTTTTTATTAGTGACAAAGTAAGGAACATTGAGGATTTTAGAAGGCTTTTGATTGTAAGGATTGTTGCAGAAAATTCGATGGTTTAAGTGGGAGCCCCATAGCTAAACTGTCTGTAAGTTCCTAATAGGTCTTATATAGTGAATATAAGAGTCTTTTTGTAATTAAATGGGAAGTTTAGAGCGTTTGTCTTGTAAGTGCTGAAGTAAATCGGAAACGTCGAGCGGTTTCTTGTCGTTCGTCTAGTATTAGGAATCCAAGTTAGTCGTTGTCCAGGTGGACTCCTAGGTATCCGGATTTTGCTCACAGGGATAGATTGGAGTATTTGTTAAAGGAAACTGTAGGACAGGAAGTCGTTGGTTTACGACGAATAATCTCATCTAAATTTCGTTTTTTCTAGTTATCGTAGACCCTAGATACCTAAACTTCTCTACCTGTTCAAACATATTACCATCTATATCGATATCCCCAGTAATATCACCATTTTTGCAGCTAACCATATATTTTGTCTTATCCGTGTTTATTTTGAGCCCTGGTTCTTTACTGCCATTCATTAACATTGTCGTATAAAACCAATATATATAATGATCTTTTCATTAATAAGTAGTTATAATTACTAATTATGCTAATTGTAATGTTCCTTGAAGATGGTCTATGGTCCCAAAATATCGAGGATGGAGCATAACACTAATTTATTTAGAAATGGAAGATGTTACTTCACAAAAAAATAAAATTGATTATAATATTGTGGGGGTCTGTGTACAGATTTATTATAAAGCTTTAAATTTCTTTGATATAGATATTCATTATAACATTATCTGAATTACTATTACTATCAATGTTGATATTTATACTATTTAAAGAAAACTACAACAAAGTCTTTAAATACCTAAAAAATTATACAATTAAAATAAATAAATTGACATGCGAGCAAATGTCTTGTTACATACTCACTTTCCAATTGAAACTTCATTAGTTTACATTCCTTCCATCCATGTGTCTCTTTGTTATTTTAGATTACATTAAGTTCTATTTCTTTCTTTTAAAGGCACATTATTCTTTATTTTAATGTAATTTAAATTTTCTAGTATTTCATTCTTTAAAAATATGTTGTGCTGTAATCTCTGGAATAATTTAAAGCATTTAATTTTATTGTCAGCATCATTTCACAAGTATTTTAAACATTCATATATTGTAGCATCGTCAATTAAAGTGAAAATATGAAAAAAATTTAGTAACTAAAACCATTTTGAATAACACTTAATTAAATTAAATCCTGATCATCAATTTGGCTTTAAATCCTATTATTATCCGCAGCAATGAACCTGTTTAGTTGATGCCGTAGCAGTAAAATTTGAAATAATAAGCATTTGGTATTGTAGACTCAGTTATCCCATAACACTTAGGAAACAATTATGTTGAATAGATATAGAACAAATTGGCTGACACACTACGCTGCATGAAAATTAAAACTTCGCATGAATAAAAATAGACTTTTGTTGATTTTAACATTGATAGAAGGAAGGACTTTAGTGCATTAGGTTGATAACATTTTGATTATGTTAATTTTGGAAAAAATAATGAAATCTTATATAAAAAAAACAATAGAAAGAAATTCAGCAATTCAATTTCTTGCAATAAGTATTAATGAAACAATTTAATCACAATTTTCATGTTTTCCGAATTAAAATGATGCTAAATTTGAACTTAGTGACTGAGTACTGTTCATGTTTTATTATTCTATTTTTTATTTATTTTGCAAGTTTGTTCCAAATCGGTACCTTCAATTTGAAGGCAGTTAAATTCTGGAAGATCTGATGAGTATGATATCTTCAAAATTGTTTCCATTAATAATAAAATTTTGAATTTTATATCAAGATTCTTATTTCTTATTCATTATTTAGATGTCCAGTGGAAAGCTGTTTAATTAGATTATCCTGTCGAGACTTGATTGAAAAACATCGGGAGTGCCACGTAAGTTCTCGGAATTTTGCCTGTCCCCATTGCTCTCAGCCATTTCGCAAGTGGTATGAGTGTGCTAATCACCTTTGGAAATCACATTCTGAAGATGTAGATCTCTATTCCTGTCCAGTAAGTATAAGTGATATTATACTATTAATTTTAATAGAAAATTACTTCATTTTTACTGATTTTTCATAAAAAATTAATAATAATAATTATATTTGGATATCTGGTTTAATGAATTAGATTATTTATTTAAGAATACTTATTTTGTTTTTCAAATTATAATTACAATTAAATTTTTCAGAATTGTGAATTTAAAACAGCTTTAAGAGCCAAACTTGAAGTCCATGTTAAAACACATTATGATGAGAGAGGATATTTATGCACTGAATGTGGTAAAACATTTAAACAAGCATTTCAGTTGCAGAATCATAGGGTTAGTCATCTGAAAGTGTCTGATCCAGCCAATGTTCCTAATTGGTAATTCTTTGAAAATTCAGTCTAATATTTTAAATTGATTAAAATTAATTCAAATATGTATTTTTTATATTACAGGTCCAGAAAACAAGAATGTTCTCAATGTAAACGCACCTTCTGTGATAGTAAAGCCCTTAAAAAGCATATTCAGGCAGTTCATTCGAATTTACGACCTTATGTTTGTAATGTTTGTGGCCATACATCTGCATTGAAAAATAGAATGACTCTTCATTTACGTCAGCATACTGGAGAAAAACCATTTTCTTGCCCATTTTGTCCATTTATTACAGGTATACTGTTTAAGGTTAAAAATAAATGGCTGTATTTCTTAACAGTCATCAGCATAAACCATTTTTAATATACATAAGACATTAGAAAGGAAAAGCTTACTATATTTATCAACTACTTAAAATTATCTCAATAATAATAATTCTTAAAATTAATTGGATATTATAACGGGTTATAATTTTCAAATTCCTTGTTGTATTTTGTAAAGAATACAACAAAATGAAGACCTAACTTAACGTAAATTGCTTCTAGAATTAAAGAATGTTTTGAATGAGAATATCCTTCATGAATATTCTGTTCAAATCCAGATTTTTATATCAAATTATTTTATTTTTTTTGTAATATTGTTTAATTTTACTCACAGTTTGTTTTATACAATGTCAATTGTTTACTGCAAATAATTTGGAAGTATTAATTATCTATTGTATGATTTGAAGTCAGAACAAATTATAACAGGTGGCCACTTTTAGAATAATAAGAAGTTTGGTATAATTTATTGTATTAATAAATGTGAATAAATTGTTTAAATATCTTATTTGTAGGTGACCAGAATTGTCTCAGGCGACATGCATGGCGACATTCCCGTGTCAGACCATATTCTTGTCCTCATTGTGAATACAGTTGTATTCAGAGTAGTTCTTTGAAGAAACATATAAAAACTCAACATCCTACTTCTTCTGAAGTTTTTTCTTGTCAACATTGTTCTTTCACCTCCCTCTCGAAGAATTCACTTGAGAACCACATAATAAAAAATCATGGTATTTTATTATTATATTTCTTTCCATATTTAAGTAGATATAACTGTATGTGAGGCATTAATAAAATTGTAACTAATTTAAATTTAACCTTAGCATTTTGTTCAATAAGTTAATCTATCCTGAATACAAAAATGTCTTTTAAACAGCGGCCTCGGAGGCCAGATGTGGCCTACAACGTTTTTTAGCGATATTTATTAATCCAGGGGTAGATTTAATTATTTAAGTAACTACAATTTGGAAATTAATAGAATTGAGTTGTATATTTATATGTGGGTGTGTTTATTCAGTGATAAATTAAAATAGCATCGATGAAATATAAAAAAATTATTGCGGCCTTTATTAGCACTGCCTAAACCTTACTGTGGCCTCTAATGATAAAGAGGTTCCCGTCTATGGTATAGGTAAGGAATTGGCTATTTACAACTTTTTTTTTTTCTCAAAGGATTAAAATGACTGGCCTTCATTGTAAGTTGATAATCGTTGTGCACTTAACTATCCATGTACTGAATTCTCTCTGTAAACAGAATATTCCACATTTGAGTGAGATCATTTTCACTAATTAAAACGACCACCTCTCAAACCAACAACTCTCTAGGAATGAAAATTCATTAATAACTAAGCACTAAAGTAATAAAAAATATAAGAAAGAATTGTAAATAAATTTCTACATTTCAATTCTTGGTCAATTACTGTTATTAAGATGGGCTTGATAATTAAGTTTTGTGTGAACTTACAAAACAAAACCTGTTATTTCCTACATTAATAAGCAAATTTCTTTATATATGATAGAGTCAATACAATAAAAAGAAAAATTAATTTCACATTAACTCTTAACTTTTGTACTGAAAATTTTGTTTTAAAGATTCACATATTTTATATTATTGTATTTATTGATATAATTTATTTTTTAAATATAATTGGTATTGTTACAGATGGTAAAACAGAACCTAGTAAAGAAACTCGAGTTATTTATGTCGGTGCATTATCAGAGACTGTTGAAGGAACAGGTAAAATGGACAATAACTCTTTTTACATCATTATTGTCTAAATTAATTTAAAATTAAAACCTGACAATTATTAATTTGTTTCATTGCACAATAGTTATTGCAAGTTCAATATATAACTTTGATCAGAGTAACTTTTGTTTTGATTTTCTGGATATGTTGTACATTTTACTCTGCCTCTCTGGGTAGCACTTTCTGTAATGGTTGGTAAGTCAAGGTTTTAAATTTAAAGAGCACATCTCATACCAACAGTTCCAAAGAAAAAGGCTTTAACTTGAGACAGTATATAAAGACATCTAAATATTTAATTGGAGCTTAATTGTTGCGATGATGGCGGGTTATCTATTTACCTGTATTATAGGACCTCAAGGCTTTGTTCTATTTATTAATAATTAATTGAAGAGAAGGATGGTTGGGGTGATGAGTCAAAATGAAATAGTAAAAATAAATAATTGTTTTGTTTTTTTTATTACTATTTTATTCACTTCAACCATCAACCCACAATTATTAATAATTAATCTATGTTTGAGCTTGAGGGTGCTCCAATATCAGGTCATCCAGCTTTATCGTTGACTAAAAAAAAAACATTAATTCTGTATGAGTTTCCTACCATCAGATAGAGAAGTCCTTAGGTATTAATGCATCAGCAGTTTTTGACATTTTACACACCATCATCTTTATGTAAGGAAGCTTTGTATTCTTTGGATGCCCCATAGCTTCACTGAATCTCATGGTGCTGTGAAATGATGAAGAAGTTCAAAAATTGAAAAGTCTGCAATGTAGAAAGTATTGTGACAGGTGATGAAACCTGGTTTTACTACTAAGATGTCCCAGCTAAGACTCAGACCCAATTGTGGGTGTTTGAAGATAAATCTAGATCTGTTTGTTAAGAAGAGAATGGTGTTGTATTTTTTTTAGTTTAAGGGGTTATGTTAAAAATACAAAGGCCGTCATAGGCAAATGGTGCACCGAGGAATGTTCTACTAAAAAAGTGATGCAAGCTCTTCAGAAACTTTGGTTGAACCCAAGAATGGGTTCCCTCTTGTGTATTGAAATAACTTCAAATGATTTTTTACTCATGATTTATTTATTAAACAAATTTAACAACTCATTTTACAACTGGTTGCAACCAAAAGAGGAAAGATTATTATATTAAATATTGGAAAATTATCAACTAATTGTCTACTGGAACCTTTTTATGAAATTCCCTGATTTTTTTCAGGCCTTATTTGAAATATGTTTATTATTTAATTATTTATTTATCTCAAAAAAATATATTTCATGGTGTAATATATACAATACATGCTTTATTCTTATTTTCGGGTTGAATATCGATAAAATACTATATTTTGTGCATATAATATTACAACATTTTGATACACATCCGGTTTAGAAAAAAATATATACTTGGCCTACAGTTATAGTATGTGTTCAATATTGAAACAAATAGAACTATTCTAAGGAGAAAAGTGGTATAAAACATTTTTTTAAGTAGAAACAATGTTGAGATTTGTATTTCACACTAAAAAGTTGTTGCTCAAAATTTTCGCCTAGGCTCCAGCCATAAATTTTTTTTTCAAAAATCACAAAAGTTGTGATAACTTCGATATGCCTCCACTTATGCACACGAAAATTAGCATGAATTTAGGGGCATATAATATCCACAAAATGGTACAAACCACAATCCTGCAAATAAATTGTGCTTGGAGATAAAAAAATAAAAACATTTAGGGAGTTTTATTTATTTCTTCCTTATAAACCCATGAAATCTAAAAGTTATCAATATAATTGTTAACAGCAATAATTTAGTTTTCCAAAAAATAATTCCTCCCATAAAATGACGTCCAAAAATTTATATTTTTGATTTATTTAATAGTTTTAGTGAACCCTAAAGACGAATCTGAATAGTTTTTCATAACAGATATTTATTTGGCCTACTTTACTGGAAGCTTCTATGGGTTTTTGTAATATATATGTATTTTACACAAAAATACAAAGCGATTGATATATAATAACTTGTAAATTCATTCAGAGCAACATCAGAAAACAGTAACATAAAAAAATAATATTTTATAAAAAAAAAAAATTTTCTCCTAGTGCGCATTGCGAAAACCCTCAGACATGCGTCTAATATTTGTTGACCTAGTATAGCCAAAAATCCATAACCTCCCATTGTAAGTGGATTTTGTTCTTTATCGATAATATCCGGATTTATGCCTATATAACACCTTATGCTCAATACTAATTGTGATTTCTTCCTTTGTGGGGATACATCTAGTCAATCTCTCTAGCCTTTTTATATAATTAAATGTTGATTTAAATATGGATGATTAAAGTTTTTTAATCGATCGATTAAAATTAGAAATTGTAATGAACCCAATTTATGCTTTATAGATTATGACAAAAGATTATTTGTTTAATGTTGACATGATTTGTGTTTCAGATTCTGGACAGCTGATTGCTTTGCCAGTAGAAATACTAATGGATGATGATGAATCCCAGAACTTTTTTGAAAATACTGTAATAGATACTGGTGGAATCACAATTCCTGCTGAACTTAACTTACAAAAATAAAATTGTTCATATCAATGAAATAAGTATGGATAGTTAGGTTGTATTATTGTTATTTTTTTTTTAATGTTGTAAATAATAATATGTTAAAAAATGCTGTGATTTAAAATATTTAAGTTCTAAAAAATTGTCCTAATTGTACTTTAATGTAAATAAATGGTTTTTAATTGATTATCATAAAACATGTAACACCAATATAATCTTTAAATAATTACTAATGACCATATATTATTTATTTATTCAATCAATTCTTTATACACACAATATCTTGTCTATTTTATGTAAATAATGAGCTAAATAAAACCTATATGTAAAAATCTGGTGCACGCATCACACAACTTTCACTTACTCTGCTTTGAATAAAATTATTTCCTGTCCATGTTGGACTTGGCTTGTAAGTGGATATTGTGATTTCACAGAGGGAAAATTCATCAAATTATTAACTAATTTAATTATGGAAAATGTGACTTAATTTTCTGGAGGAGTAAACAGACTATATATACCTAACGATTTAAATATAACATTAGATATGGAGTTATTAAACTACAGTAAATATATTTAAGGTTATAAATTATGTTTTATACATCCATGAAATATTTTTATATTTTATTTCTTATTTCACCCAAATACAAAGAAATAGTTTTTTAAACAGTAAAAAACATTTTCCTATTATTTTATTATAGACTAGCAGTTCTCTAACTTATTTTCGCTATGGCACTCTTATTAAAATAAAAATCTGGTGCGATGCGCGTATCACACAACTTTCACTTACCACTCTCTTCTGAAAAAGGTATTTTCAGACAAAGGGGAAGTGAAAGTAAAAAATTATAGACTATATTTATATATATTTCATTGTGGGTATTTTGATTTGTATAAGTACCCTTATATAAAAAAAATTTAATATTTATATCGCTGTAATCTTTACAATTAAATATTAAATAATACCGACAAAATTATTTATGTTATGAAAACCACATATGTATATTTATATAATATTGTCGAGTCCGTATTATACTAAGCTCATGTTACGAATAGAAGCATATTCTAATCATTCGGGCAAGCCCAGGTGCGCTCATATTCCTTTGGTTCCTCAATTACAACTATTCTCCATTACTAACTCTTATTTCTGTTTTAGTTAATTATCAAATTCTTTCATATGATATATTTAGCTATCTTTTATATTAGAGATTAATGTGAAATGGTCAATTTTTTCAAATAAAAAAATTAAAGGTACTTAAGGGGAAGCTAATATTGAAAATTAGTCATTTAAGCCCTTTTAGAGAACATCAATCGGAATAAAAACTACAGTTTATTTAAAACTGCTTAATTTTACACTGATATGCCGAAATTTAATCAAAATCGTTATGAGCTATTTTCAAGAAAATCGTAAAAATATGTAATGTGCCACTTCCGGTTAGCCGATTTTGACGAAAAAGTTGCTGTTATATCCCTATCATAAAACCTTAAATATGCAATTTCACTTTTGTACGACTTTTTGTTTTTGAGCTAGACTGTTAACGCACACACAGATCATTTTGCAGGACTTGGTTATTTGGACTCAGGGGACCTTAAAATGTGTAATTCCATTGAAAACTGAGATTCAAAAATTTTCATGACCGCAATACTTTACTGTACATTTTCATATATAGGTAAGTGAAAGTAAAAAACTAAGTGGTATCCATATAATTAAAATATACAGTTGTAGACAGAAATGAAAAAAAAAAAAAAGCATCAATTTCATAGATGTATGGAAAAACATGATTTTTTCCTTTAACTTCTGTTTATATGAAAATACATATTTCCACTCAAAGCGAATGTTGTGTGATGTGCATACCACACCAGAACTTTACATTTAATTTACTATCTTATACATGGTGTAACTAACTTAGTAAGAGGTCGTATCTTTGAAGCACAAGCTTCCATAGAGGGGTGAGCGTTTCGATGTTTGGGCTCAAAACATCCAGGTCATCAGCGCCCGATCAACTAAATAACACTATTCTTAAACTATTTAGGTGGTTAAAAAAAATAATAATAATGAGATAAAATAAATAAACTAAAAAAAATAATAACAAAATAAATGAATGAAATAAAATTAATAGATAAATGAACTTTAAAAAATAAAATAAAATCAGCAAAGGCTCATTTGCTATAAATTTGTCATATATTACTTGATTACTTTAGTAACATTTTTCCCAGGAACGCAGATCTATTCGGTGGCATTGCAAGTTCTTTCAAACTTGCAGCGTAAAATGGGCACTCTTCCATAACATGCTTTATAGTTAATATTCTGTCACACTTTTGACACCTGGGGCTGAGATCTTTTGTTATGAGGGAGGTGTGCCAGTTTAGTATGTCTGATTCTTAATCATGCGAGTCCAACTCCAGTCCAAACCAACTGCTGCATTTGAGGCTGCTCCACAGTTGCACCTCTTTCTTTATTGTCTATAGTTTGCAAGGTGCACTGCAATCCCCGTCTTTGCTATACTTTGGATATGGTTTCTCTTATGAGTCGCAGAAGTTTAGACGTCAAGAAAGCTTTACCGCGGCCTGGAAAGTTAAGTTGCATTTGCTGTTCTATCAGCTATTTTGTTTCCTTTAACACCTATATGGCCAGGCGACCAGACAAAATTTACCATTGTTCTACCTGCATGAAGCATTTTTATAAAACTTAAAATACTGTGTATCCGTGGATGGTCTGGATTTATGTTATTCATGCCTTTTTAAGTACTTAAGAGAGTCTGACACCACAACCACATTTGCAACTGGTGTCTTTAAGACTTATCAGACTCATTGCATTAGCATTAATTTCTGATGTGTAGACACTTACAAAGTAATTTATTCATGTAATTTACATTTGGAGATAGTATCAGGAGTGGCAAAGGCTGATGCAGCAGATGTATTTGATTTTGCCCTGTCTGTGAATATTAGATGTTCGGGTAAGGTGACAATTATTTTGTGGAGTTTTTCTTAATATTCTGTCGGTATTGTACTATCTTTGGTGAGTTGGAAATTTGAAAAAGTTGGGAGATGTACTACTGCTTACATCAAAATTGTTTCATGAAGCCCCATTACTACTTCTGAGGGTCTGCAGACCACCAGTTCAAGAATCAATGTTCTAAAGTATAACTTAAATTTTAAACCAGAAAGTTTAATTAAATAAAAATGTAAGGTGAGAAAAAACTACTATTGCTGAAAATTTTTTAATTAAATTTATATCTACAGTATATATACAACAAAGAAATCAATAATTAACATCCAGGAACTGCAGCAATTATTGGTTTGGGTCTTATTTTAAATACAAGTTTTTTATCAACTAAAGCTTTTATAATATACTCAGTAGTAATGTCAGTCTTTTTCTTTTCCATTACAGCAAAAGGTTTTTCAAGGGGTATTGCTTTTCCATATAAGATGTGATGCCCTACAATCAACGTTGGGACACCATTACTCTGAAAAATCATAATTTTTTAAAATAATAATGATAAACCTCTTGTTTTTAAAAACTATTCACTACTAATAGATACAGAAGCACCACATCACAAGTGTCTAACGAGTTTGGTCACCTCTATCTACTTTCTTATACTGCTATTCTCAAACTTCCAATTATGGTGTGATCATAAGTTCTTGTATGCACTCATTAAGGTGGAGTAACATTTGTAAAATGTGCAAAACAGACTCAGTTGATTGTATAAAACTTTTATGTAAAGAAATGAACACATTTGTATGATGACGAGTAAATCCAAAATATTTATGAGAACAAATAATGATACAAGGACCCATACATTAAGTATAGGCCCATAAACTCGTAAGTTCAGGTAACTAAGGTTACCTAAGGTGTATAAATTATTGTATGGAAAATACAAGGTGTACAATACAAGAATGTAACCATCGATGATAAACAAAAATAGGGAATTGCGGTACAAATGTTTTTTTACTTGGACTATACATGGGATTTTGATAATGGCTGCGTGTTAACCTATTTAAGATTTCAACGAACTCCATACTCAGTTAAAATCAAGGCCTTAATTATCTTTAATCACATATCTACTTTCCACTTCTGCTTGCTATGTTTGTTTAAAAGGGATAAATGAATCCCCAAAGTGTTTTTATCAGAAGTCAGGATCTTGCCAGACCGTTCAGTCACCTCCGTGCACTTTCAGACTCACTGGGTCATTCTTGAGATTCAATTTATTGCATGATTGTGATATCTTGTGCCACTAATCAAAATGAAGCGACACTTGTGCAGTAGTACAAAAAGTACGATAATAGTAACCATGAGCAATGGGGAAATAATCTTGTACCAGTACAACCCAAGAAGGGCATTGGGTTCAATACATGGTAAAAAATTACTGTTTTAAGGATAACAGTTGTGCAGGGAAGTGTTTGGGCCAAAGTCACGCTCAACTGTAAGATTTTCTCCCTTAATTAAATAATTAAAATGCCCATTTTATAAAGGCTTGGTATGACCTAGGAAGGTCCTAAAGTTCGATCAAAACAATTATTACCTGCCATAGCATGATTCAGACCTGGGACATCAGATAAGGTCCCCAGTGGTATACATGAGCACAGTGGGAGAAAATATAAATATGTTTAACATTGATTCATAATTTTCCTAAAGATCACATCTGCCCAATTTAGTCGACTGTTCATTATTTTATAATAAAGTTAAACAAAAAGTAAAAGTTGAAAATAGAGAATATCAACTATAGATAGAGCTGATTATTTGTGAAGGATGACCTACATGGGTCACTTTTAAGGCAATTATATTAGCACATAATGAAGAACCAGGTCCTTCAATAACTGCTGCCTTGGAGTGGTTAAGCAGATCTTTATCAAGGGCTTCCATCTAGAAACATTGAACATCTACCTCAATAATAAAGTAATATATTAACCTGCATTACGTAGTGCAGGTCACCAACGAACTGTGACTGTAATGCTCCACCATTTCTAGACTCCAAATCTCCTTGTACTTCAATGATTCCCCAAGTATAAGGATTATCTTTCCTGAAACGTCATAATAATTCAGGAACACTAAAACTATAACTTTCTTACTTTTTGAGATAATGGACAAGTAACTTACATTTTTAAATAAACCGGCATCTCTAATAATTTAAGAAACTAAAAACATTAACAAATAGAAGAATCGTGTATATTTCCCGCCATAATGTGACAGAAAGAACCTTTTCTATCCAAAGAGGAAAGTAAATGTAGAATGCGATTATGTTTTGTTAGCAATGATAACAATATAATTAATAATTAATAAGAAACAATCTTCTAATATACGTATCCAGGATTTTTTCTGAGTATCTTTTGGTAGCAATCTGGAAACTTTTTTACGATTGGGTAAATCCATATTAGTGATAGGTGGTATCATGAACCTATGGTACAACTATTTCAATATTACAATGAATCCCTGAATGTACAATTTCGCTGGAGAGGCTTATGTAACTGGTGAAGCCGTTGAACGTACTCGGTGCCGTTCAGCAGCTCCAACATGAACTGCATAATAACTCTAATCAGAACTGTTCAAACTTGATCTTGGCTTATTAGCTCTATCTGGAACTGGATCCGTTGGTGTGAGCTCCAGACCAGTTCTAGCAGCAGCTTAATAGCTCCGTTTTGAGCAGTTTAAGACGTAGTCCTTGGCTTATTGCCTCTGCCAGGAGCTGGAAGCATTGCTGTATGAGTTCCAGGTTAGTTATACCATGGATAGCTTAAAAGCTTAGTTCAGTATTGTTGACTCTTCGAAGTTTTTAGCATATGAGCTCCAGATCTCGTAGTTCAGGGTGGCCACTAGACAGTTAAAGTAAAATTCTCTGACTTTTCCCTATTAAATAATAGTTTTCCCAGACCAAGATGTCTGGGAACACAAATGATTAATTTATAATTAAATTTATATTTATTATACATGAAAGAAAACTGACTAAAGCTCTGATTTTCTCTATTATAGAATAAACTGAGCTATGGGAGATTCTAATATTAATTTAGTTTCATTATTACTATAAACAGCATAATAATTATCCATATCTTCTGCACCATGTTAAAGTAACGAATGTTTAATGTTAAACAGGCTCACAATTGTTACTTTACATGGTAGAGACCAAGGTCTATAAAACTACCAGGTTCGCTCACTCAGAACTGCGTGGTGGGGGAACTTGAAACGTGACGTAAGGACTAGACCGCCAGACCTACCTATTACTCTTTCCAGCCTATTAATCAAGGTTTATTTCAAGGTGCTTTTTTCTTTTTTTTTCCTTGTTTAATTTATCGAAAAGAATACTTTTCTGTGTTCTTAGCGTTTGATTGAAGATAATTTCGATTAAATAAATAAATAAATACGACTAGCAATTCGACATTGTTTTCATTAAAAGCTCCCCCCAAAACGTAATAGTCGACCCTGATATCGATTAAATCCTTAAAGTTACAAAAAGTCGTTGCTCGGTGGCACTATCTAAAATCCGACAATATTTTCATTAAAAGCGCCCTCCCAAAACATAATAGTCGACCCTGATATCTATTAAATCCTAAAAGTTACAAAACTTCGGTGCCTGGGGGCAGTATTTAAAATCCGACATTATTTTCATTAAAATCGCCCCCCTCCCCCCAAAACATAATAGTCGACTTTAATATCGATTAAATTCTAAAAGTTATAAAAAGTCGGTGTCCGGGGGCTCTATCTCAAATCCGACAGTATTTTCATAAAAACTGCCTCCGAAAACATGATAGTTGACTCTAAGATCAATTAAATCCTAAGAGTTAGCTATTAGCTTTTATTTGAAGTTACAGATAAAGCTAATTAGCAGTTAGCTGTAACAAAAGCTAAAAGTTTACTTAAGCTAAAAGTTAGCTTCTTGGTCCCGCTAAAAGCTAATTTATTTGCAGTATTATCTGCCCGCTAAAAGCTAATTTAGCTGTAAACTGTTAGCTATAGTTAATTTTTGCCCAACTCTGATTCAGGGGAGCGTGGGACGCGTCCCCTGCTGGATCCGCTAGTACTTGAAGAAATTATGCCATTCATAAAACTGGTCACGATAATAATTTGTAATGGTGTAGAGATGGTTGACCGTGATATGATATGAGAAGGAGTTGATCGTGGGGTGTGGGCAAACAAATACTAAATTATACAAATACTATTATTTAATTTTTTTGCCGATGTTTCAACCCACTTTACAGGTTTTCATCAGGGCGTAGGATCAAGCACTGCGGGAGGCAGTTGAAACAATGTCTGTTTTTTGTCTTTTGTTTGTTTTCAGCAGTGTTTCAACTGCCTCCCGCAGTGCTGGATCCTACGCCCTGATGAAGATCTGCAAAGTGGGTCGAAACGTCGGCAAAAAAATTAAATAATACTATTTGTATAATTTAGTATTTATTTGACCGCACCCTCGATCAACTCCTTCTCAGATAATAATTTGTACATTTCTCATTAGAGAACGTTGTACTTTTCTTCACGGGCGGATCTACGGGGGAGGGGGGGGGCTTTCGGGCTGAAGTCCCCTCCAAAATGGAAAAATATAACCATGTTTTATGGGAAAAAAAAATTTTAAAATACCTCTTAAAGTATTATTGTTCGTGTGATTACATTTAAAAGTACTTAAGGAATAACTTAAACACCATTTCATATAGGTAGTTAGTTTCTTTCTGTTTTTCCATAGTAATTATCGTTATTTTTATTGAAAAAAAAGGTTTCGGGCTGAAGCCCACCCCAAAATTAAATCCTGGATCCGCTAGTGCTTTTCTTGAAATAGCTGCTGTTGGGAACGTTTTCATGAAGGAAGTACTAATTATTTGGTCTCCGAATTTATTGAAATCAGAAATTATTCTGAGTTTTTCTTCTTAAAGAACTCATTTCCAAGCTGCAGGTCCATTTACGAGTATATTAATCTTTCTCAGATTTTGACAATGTGAGTAAAAATTAGCGTTCATTGACCGTGGTTTCCGACCATCTCGCTTAATCAAATTATTAAGTTTAGGTACTCATTCGACGCACAATTTGACATTCTTTAATTTCTTAAAGAATACGTTTTTCGCTTTGATGCACTATTTAGTAGAAATACATGAAAAAAAAATCAGATAAATCAGGATTTTTAGGCTGTAAAAAGTTTTCTCTTGTGACCAGTGTCAGAATTTAGTTTTTTACATGTCTAAGCCCATATACAGGGTGTCTTGTAAGTAGAGGAAAATATTTAAAGGAATAGCAGAACTGAATAAATACAGAAAAGTTTATATAAATAATGGTTCGATTTTCTGCAGGAAAGTAGGGGGTGAAATTTTTTTTATTTTTTCATGTAAGCCACGTTTTGTGTTGAATAGGAAGTGATAACAAAAAAAAAATTTAATTTAAATAATTAATGATTGCTTCACTGTAAACTAGACAAAATTTACTTTAAATTAAAATAGAGTTTGCTTATGTTAAAACTATTTAAAGAAGACTTTTGAGCAGCTAAACCCAGCTAAGGAGTGGGGGTTGGTAGTGGTGGGGAAAGGGTATGGGTGGGAGAAGCACCACAGTGGGAGAATCTTGGATCCGCCACTGCATCCCGGCCCTATCTCAAAAAATCAAAAAAGCTTTAACTTCCGAATTCCCCCATCTTCTTGCATTTTCATTCTACTTAAAAATTATATCAACCAATTTGATTGACGTCAATATAATTGATGCCATGTAGCCCCTTCACGGTTAATATATTGATGAAATTCAATATTGACCGAGTAAGGGGCCCTGAAGGTCTTCTTAATTGGCGTAATATAAAATATTTGTAATATGTAATATAAAATTATAGTGATGAAAAACATTATCAGGATTTGCAATAAAAATTTCGTACAGAGGTGCGCCCCCCCCCCCTCTCTGAGAAAAATCTTGGATCCGCCTCTGCATCCCAGTCCTATCTCAAAAAACCAAAAAAGCTTTTACGACTAAATTCCCCCATCTTCTTGCATTTTCATTCTACTAACAGAAATGTTACCTCTCTCTTCCTCTGACTATGTTTACCTACCTTTTGCTATCTGAAAAATGACAACTGGGAAATCCTCCCCCGATATTTTCACTTACCTACAAAACGTGCCAGTACTTGAAAATCTTCAGTGCTCGAACCATGGTTAGTAAGAGAAAATGTTACAACAACTTTTATAAATAGATTATATATATTATTTTTAGTTTGTATAACTTTTTACTTATTTCATTTTTAATATTGTGTATTGTAATAATAGTTAAGATTCATGTACCATCAATCACTATAGTTTATTATTTACCATTATCGGTCGTATAATATTATATCTCTGATTGTATTTTAAAATTTTCAGTCCTGAAGATGACCCACATGTTTGGGTTGAAACGTTGGCACAAATAAAAAAAATTGTATAATGACTGCGTCCTGAATATTTATCACCCATGATATGTAGAACAGTCGACTAGCTTCCTTCATTAACACATTATGTTTTATATTTATTTCAAATATTTAAAAAAAAATGTGGTATTTTGAATTTCTGAAACAAAAACCCACACATCAACTTCTAAAATTATATTTCATTTGTTTTAAAATAAACAAAATAGCAAATGAATCTTTCTCTCACTTTTTTAATTTATTAATATTAATAAATTAATGGTCTATTATACCTTAAAGTATTGATTTCATGTGGAAAGATAAATAATAATTTTACAACGTCCAGAAACAAGGGCCGGAGGGGTATTATCAGTCTAGTGGTTACGTCAGAGCTCGATTCCTCCCCACCATTTTCCCCTGAGTGAGCGAACCTGTTAGTTTTATAGAACTTGGTGGAGACGATATGACACCAACAGTGATATTTCTGGTTAATAAATGCCTATTCAAAGAGCACCGCTGGTCGAACCGTTCGACTGTTCGACTCGAACGAATATTCACTATATATTTATTTCCAATTTGAAAAACAATATTTACGTACTAAAAAAATTCTTGACTTTTCCCATTTTTCTAGCTTCTATCTTGCTTGTATATACATCAGGCGTTCGATGTGATTCGATGGACCCAACTAAGCCTGAAAAAAATAACTGCTGCAGCGTGCCTCACACAACTTTCGCTTACCAACCTAGGAAGAAAGAAATACAACAACATTGCACGGCTGTTCAACAGTGTTGAGTTGTTAAATAACTAAATAAACAGCATACTCATCAATCAATAGATAATACTGTAAAAAAATATGTAAGAGTTAGGTCTGGACCATTGGAATACAAATCAGATATGCCAAGAACGGTTTAAAGAATCGAATAAGGCCTAGATCAATATAAGTGGTGATGGAGGATTCCCAACGAGTCCAAAATAATAGTTTCTGCCCTGGTCTGCATCTGCTCCCTTCCAACACCGAGCCTCTGCAAAAAAATTACTTGAATTAAGTAGGATGCTTCCCCTGTTAACAAATCATAGCCCTTTAACAATTAAATTACATTCTATCATTATTAAATACTTAACTCCGAAAATTGGGAAACTTTTTAGTATTGATTGAGTGAGTCTACAAACCAACATTCTAGAAGTTATAAAATGTGATAAATAGTCATGACGCAGCCATTTAAAGATATTTTTTGTTGCCGACGTTGCAATCCAAGCTTGTGGTTCGCCATCAGTGTTTGTAACATGTCCCGATAATGACCCACATGCTTAGGACAAAACGTTGACAACAATATTAATCTTAAAATGACTGCGTCCTCACTATTTATCACCTATGATATGTAGAACAGTGGACTAACTTCCTTCAATAAAAGAAATGACGGGTGGAGCGAGGAATAGGGCCAGTTCCTTTTTTATGTTAATATCATGTAATTTTGACGGATATTGTAATATGGAACGGGGTAACTCAGTGAGTCAGGCACCGTGCTTCAATTATCTTGGTCCCAGGTTCGAGTCCGACTGTGGCAGGTTACCATTTATTATATAACATTAGCCGTGGATTGACAACACGTGCATGCACGAACTCACGCACACAGTCACTCACTTGCGCGCAAACATATTTACATAATATTCAGATAGTATGTAACCGAAATCTATAACTCGAGAGCATATAGAGTCGTTGGTTTTTTCTATGAAACATTTTTCAGTTTTCTACATTTCTATTTATTGCATACATACATTTAATTATGTTTCCTCATCAAAAATAAAAATAAAAATATCCCTCTCTCTACAACACTATCGTTACATCAGGGTTGCCCATTCCCCCCTAGGTCTGTGGCGCAAGAATCTACCCCTCCTCCTCCCAAAATATTTGTTGCTCACCTTTCGTAAAAACTGAGCAAGCTAAGTCAGAAGTATCATATATAATCAGATTATATATAAATACACTTGCTGTGATCAGTTTCATGTGTTACCCTTATCCGTTGGTCAGAAAATTCATAACCCCGTTCAAAATATGCCCTCTCAAAAATTCCAATACCCGTCAAAATATGTCCCCTTAAAAATTTCGTTGGCGCAACTTGCACCATGAAATTCTTTTCTGGGCACCCCTGCGTTACATTAATTCATAGACCAACATAATGTACGCCTTATTTAATCTTTTGATTTCGAATAAAATAAATTGTTAAGTATTCCATTATATGAACTGGTATATTGGCTAATATGCCTAAGAGTAAAGCAAAAAAAAAAAACATTATCAGTTAATTTTCACTTGGTTAGTTTTTAACCAGTGGTGAAAATTATGCCACTAATTTCTCCTTAAGAGATAAAGCCGAACAACTGTGACATTCACAGCAGTCTTTTAATAATCATAGCAGAGTGGGAAAATTCATACGTTCTTTATGAGTCTCAACGAAATTAAGATGATATGATGAATGAATATTGACATAATAGCAAATGTCTAATTTATAATAATTAAAAAAATGTACGATAATCGGCCATAGGCGTATTTTGATGGGAGGACGCGTTGGACCAAAAAAAGTTCAGAGAATTTATATATTGTAAGTAAAAATTATGGGTGAAAATTAACATAATCGAGACAGCGATCGTCTTCCCTCCTCATCCTCACAAGTTTGTGCTTATGTTCGGAATACTTATAAATGGAATGCTAATTAATGGAATTAGATTTATAGTGAGATTAGAGTCACTGTGCTTCCATTATCTTGGTCCCAGGTTCGAGTCCGACTGTGGCACTCACCATTATTATATAACATTAGCCGTGGATTGACAACACATGCATGCACGAACTCACGCACACAGTCACTCACTTGCGCGCAAACATATTTACATAATATTCTTGTGGCCACCAACAAAGTAGAGCAACGCTTGTAAAGTGGTACTAAATCATTTGGTAGCAGAAAACCCCCCCCCTCTCATTCCGTCGATCCGCCAGTGACAAGATGTACATTCTATTTAAAAATACTTATCGATAAGGTTTATTATTTTATTTTTTTTATATTAAAGTTCATCGGGCGACTATATTGTCCTTAATAGTTGTTTCAAATTGTCTTCAAAAGAAATTTAGGGAAGCTGGTGGATAGAACGTCTGATGCTATGCCTAGCTCCGATATAAAGTTCGTACACAGTACAATTTGTAATAAATAAAAAACGTTTAAAATATTTTAAACACGAATGTTTTTAAGTTAAATATTTTTTAAAAATATTAATTTGTTTATTCCTATCTTTTATTTAATTTATGTTTTTTATTGTGGTCATAACGGTTATTGTGATTTCTTCCACTGAAGACTTCAGTTTAGTGTTGGCTGTTCTCAGTGCTTTTTTCGACCACTATTGGTTGTTAAAATTGTGGTTGTTTGTTGTTATCACCTATAACAAGTTTTGTTTACAGTATATTTTAAATTTATTTCGCTTCATAACGTTTGAGATGTCCTCAGCTATGGAAGAAGATGATTATTTCTTGAAGTGGGAAAAACATCATAGTGCTTTCATTTCATATTTTAGCACTCTATTTAGGAGAAGTATGTTAGTGGACTGTACACTAGCTGCAGAGGATAAATATATTAAAGCTCATAGAATGGTTTTGATGGCTTGTAGTCCATATTTTGAGGTAATATTGAGTTTTAAGTTTTAAATGTTATTTTTGAATATAGTATTGGACCAATGAAAATTTTAAGTTACATGATAATATTATAAATCTAAAATTCGAAACTTCAGCTGCTGTACTGCTTATTTATTTAGTATAGTTCATATTTTCAAAAACTTACATATACTACATAACCTTTCTGTTTACATCTAACTACCTATAGGTTTTAGTTTTCTCCTTAATTATTTGCTGATATGGAATGTTCTCGTTCAATAAAATATGGGTACTTATTTATACTATTCAGTAAACCCAATTGGGCTTGGTATGTGTAAGGTTTTGAAATTGGTCTTTTTTTGTTTTGTTTAACGTCTTATTTAGTGAATTCCAATAATGATACTACACTCCTATTTATTAATTTAATCAAACTAAGTTTCATTAATATATATATTTTTTTAATCATTTGTTTCAGGAGTTGTTAAGTGATCATTGTGACAACTTTCCTATTGTGTTTCTTGACATCAAGTTTTCTGAATTGAAGTCAATTGTGGACTTTTGTTATCGTGGAGAAGTGAAAGTATCATTTAATGAACTAGAAGGATTCTTGAAAGCTGCTAATGTACTACAAATACGTGGACTGACTGATAAATCAAAGTCTGAAAAATCTGGAGGAAGCACTCCTAGATTGAAACGTCGTCATTCTACTAATAATAACATTGATAACTTTAAAAAATGTGATAGTGTTAATGAAACTGGAAGTGTTGATACTAGTGGGAGTGATGTGGCTCATGAAATGAGTGATAGTGTCAATAATAGTGAATTAACTGAAATTAGTGCTGAAAAGAAAAGAAAAGTGCTTACACCAGATCTTCTTAAAAGTAAGTCTATAATTCCACTATATTTACTAATGCCAATACATTTGTATTACTGTATTGTTATTTAAAGTATTGCAATTAACTATATCTGTGAAATCCTGTCATTAACCATGTGTTACTCGTGTAAAGTTTTATATGATATGGAATTGAATAACGTATTCCAACTTAAGTTTGACCATTTATGAAGCTATTCTTTTTTAACATAAAATAATTACAGGAGATTTTTTATTTATATACTTTTAGGTCCAATAGAAAAAATGTATTCATTATATATATACCTAACCTAGGATTTTTATTCTCTCTTGTTAAGGTATCCTAACTACCATGATGAGAGAATTGCAAGGGTATAGAAATAATATAAAAAGTATGAGCAGCATATTAATGCTTTGAAGTATATTGTTAATGATCATTAATAAAAGTAATGATATTCATTAGGTCTTACCTAAATGTTTATAAAGTTATTAAACATGTATAAATGTTATAATTTTTTTAAAGTGAAAACTTCTGTAGGCATGGTTAGCACTTTTCTTTGTGGGTAATGAATAAGACTGGGCTGTCACGCTCGACTGTATAACACTCATTTGGGTAAAGTCGGATCGAGTCTACTAATTTTTGCATTTAGATTAAAATATTTCAGAAACTAAAAATCTAATCTGCCTACTATAAGCAAGGGAAATGTTCAACATTTCATCCTATTTGTAATAAGTTAATCAAAATTGTATTATAACGTGATGTTGAGTTAAAGAGTTGGAAAGAGATAGTATAGTGTGAAATACCAAATTGTAAAGAATTTCTTACTAAATATTGTCATATTAAATATGACAAATTATATTTAAATAATGAGGATATACGATCATTGCATATTTTAATTGTCATAAACTTATTGTATCATTATTAGAGTATGATACAAATGATGATGATGATACAAATCAGCCTAGCAAAGTTTACCAGAGTAATTTATTAATAGTAATTATAATTGTATATATTATAAATATTATTACTTAGGGAATATAGAATAAAAAAAAATGATATTTCATATTATTAATTTCGATTTGTTGTTTCACAATGGACTGTGTGTTCTTAAGCACACACTGGTTCTTTTTTTTTTTATAACTATTCATAATTAAAGGATACAATTACTACATTTAATTAAATTTACTCTCACTATTTAAAATTATGTTTTATTACTCTTAGTTATCAAATTATCCTATTCAAGTTACATTTGTACTGTTAATCTACTTATGAATTTATTTTCTGATAAAGTATAAAAATGTTTTTATAGTTAGCTTTTTTTTTTCTAAATCATAGATCTAGATCATCTAATCATTGAAATATCATATCTTTAAAATATTTTGTTATTATTTTTTATGATGATGATATTTAGTTAGGACACAATTGAAAGATTCAAGAGACTCTTAAATACTCAAAGCACAATCACCTTAATGTTTGAAATCCTCCAATTGTGTCTTTGGGATTAATTTATCTCACTTTTTGTCTTTTAGTATTTATCTTATTTAACAATAATATTGATATTTCTGATAAATTTTGTCTGTTTTCAGCCCTCGTGAAGTGTGAGCTTACCACTTCAGAGGAAAATCAAGGTAAGAATTAATTTTCTTGACCTTGTAGGTGGCTGGCCTGTCTAGTTAATTATTTAAAATTACCATGTGTTATAAATTAAATTAAGTTTTTCTTATGATCATCACTTAGTTTTTTATTATCTAAATTTTTTGTTATTATTGAAAAATAATAGTTCTTTTTATCTGATTAACTTCCAAAATAATTTTGATTTTTAAAAAAATTTAAATTTCATTGTTTTTATTATAAAAAGCTATTTTATTTACAAAATCCTAATGGTTTAACAAACTATTGTAGTTATAATAAAAAAATTACCAAATCTGGAGATTTGATGCCAATACCATTATTTGCTGCTACCTTCCTTCATCTGCACCTGAAACCCAACAATTTAACACATGTTATTACCATTAGATATGTCTGTTTACAAATAATTTTTAGTTTGAAATTTATGAATAATAATATTTTAAGTAATGGGTAAAATCTGTTTTGTGTTTTCCATAGTATAATGTTTAAAACTGCAACTATTCCAAAGTACTATAAAAAATTAAATTTCTTTCACAATATAGTAATATAAATATCTATAATTTAACAATTAACAAATAAAAACTGCTATCTACTAAAAGTTAATCTAAACTTTGGTACTTCCTGCAAGACTTTCCCCCAGATGGAATCCTAAAACTTACTTCAAAACATAGGCTCGCATTAAAACAAAGTATCTTATTTTTGTTTTCAATTTAATTAATGGCTGCACTTCACCCCTTCCCCTATTAATTTACCTTAAAATGTAAACTAATTGTTCATTATTTACAATTTTTTATTCATTTCAATCATATAAATATTTAAAGAGAAAATATATGTAATCATATGTTAAGAACAAATAATTTTTACATTCTAATTATGTCTTAATATTATGAGTCATGATGTTTCACATTTATAACACTATATTATTACTAGTTGATTCATGTGAATAATTCATATAATATTGATCATCGAACAAATTGGAATTTTATAGCAATATTTTAATTTGTAAAAACCTTAGCAATACGTTAAATGGGTCCCATGGCATCTTTAATGCTTTTGACTAGAATTCTGATTTTAGGGCCTTAAAACACAGAGCCTAGTAAATTTCTGTGAAACTTTATTGAGTCTTGATGTCTGCATCAAAATCTTGAAAACGAACTTTGTCCTATCTTGATTCGTCCTCTTACTGATGTCAGAGTTTTGAAACCTACTTTTTCAATAAATTTTGGACTGAACTTTGGGTTTGTCACTCCTCCTTCACGTTTTCTTTCTTTTGATATCTCACTTGTCATAATATATCACTCCACAGAACCAGATAAGGATTATATACAACTGACCATATTATGTATATGATTTTTAAAAAATGTTAAATAAATAAATAAATATTGAGCAGACTTTCTGTTCTTATGATGAATGCAAAAATTTTATTTTTTTTTTTTATTTTTTTTATTTGTATTCGCCTCTACCCTAGAGGGTCATTGGCGGTTTTTCTCAATTTTTATATTTTACTATAGTAATTTGTTTCCAATAAATATTGAAAGAGAATGACGATATTTTCCTCCTTGTCTCCCAAAATATCTTTCAATGTTGTCGATAACTTTAATTGTTGTCTCTTTTTTTTATATTGGGGGCACTCTAATAGTAGATGTTTAACTGTTTGAGGTGTATTGTCACAGTTTTCGCAGGTTGGTGCTTCGAGCCCTCTAAGTAGGTATCCATGTGTGAAAAGACAGTGTCCGATTCGCATCCGGCACAATATTATTTCTTCTCTTCTGGATTTTCTGAAGCTTGTAGTCCATGTGTTGTACTCGGTTTTTATTTCGGATAGTTTGGCTCTTTGTATTTTCCATTGGTCTTCCCAATTTTTAAATAGGTTTTTTCTTGCTTCATGGATCCAATCTTCAACGGTGATGTGATTTATTGTTGTTATGCCTGATAGCTCTCCCTTTCTCGCCAAATGAGCAGCTTGGTCTGCTTTTTCATTACCCATTATGCCACTATGAGATGGAACCCAGATAAAGACCACACATACTGATCTTTTTCTCATCTCCCACAATACGTTTATTATTTCTCTAATGAGAGAGTTGTTAGGCCATGAGTTATCTAAGGCTGCCAAAACGCTTTTGGAGTCGGTTGCTATGATCCATTTTCTATCTTTGGAATTCGATATCCAATAAAGGGCCTTCATTATTCCAATCGCTTCTCCACTGAATATGGAGCTCTCTTTTGGTATGTTGAATAGTAGTTGGTTATCGGTTGTATGGACAGCGCAACCGATGTTGTTTTCTGCTTTAGAGGCGTCGGTGTAAATGACCTTATAACCTTTATATCTTTCTAGTAATCGAAAGAAATAAGTTTGTATATCTAGAGGACACTCTTTGGAATATTGAGTCATCGATATGTCTACAGATGGTCTGAATTTCTCCCAGCAAGGGAGTTTGAGATCAGGTATAGGTCTTATTGTGTTCAGATCTATGCTTGTATCACACAACGTTTGATAAACCATCAATTTAAATTTGTTTCCTTCTATGTCTTTGAGCCCGCGCTTTTCAGATTCCTCTATAAACAGTTTTGAAGCTAATGGGTGCTGTGGATGTGCTTTCAATTTTGAAATATATTTCATTGATAAGTATTTTCGTCTCATCTCTAGAGAAGGTTCTCCAGATTCGGTATATATACTCTTGACTGGAGAAGTTCGGAAGGCTCCTGTACAGATTCTAAGAGCCGAATTGTGCATGGAATCTAGCATTTTTAGTGACGTCTTGTTGCCTGTTCCATATATTTGAGCTCCATAGTCAATTTTACTCCTAACTACACTATGGTATATTTTGATTAATGTTAGTCTATCGGCTCCCCAAGTTGAATGAGCAATGCACTTAAGAAGTCCTAACCTTTTTGTGCATTCGTCTCTTAAATATTTGATGTGATGGACCCATGAAAGCTTGTTGTCTATTATCATTCCCAAATATTTATATTTGTCGACATAATCGATAGTAGTGCCCCTTAATACTATTTGTGGATTAAGGTGACATTTTCGTTGTCTACAAAAATGAATAATTTTGGTTTTGGAAGCTGATAGTTTGAATCCTGCTTCTTTTGACCAATTTTCTATTCTTTTCTATTCCTTTCTATTCTCTTCTAGCAGCTTCCATTGGATAAATGCTAGAGATTTGCCTCGAGCTGAAATAACTATGTCATCAGCAAATAGAAAACATTTAATGGGGGTCTGGATTGTGGACGTGATTTCATTTATTGCTATAAGAAACAGTGTCGCGCTGAGTAAATTGTCTCCAAATAAAATTAATTCATTTAACATGTAAGTCATATGTTTTCTGAAAAATAGGAAAAAGTAGTGACAATAATACTGCTATTAAAACAAAAATCCTTTAAAAGGTACTTTTATCCATAGATCCATAGAAGATAGCATCGAGTTGAATTTTGCTGAGTTCAGTGGAGGGAGGTATGTATGGAGCATTTGTTGATGGTATGGCTCTTCAACCTTCAGATTTTCTTTCTCATTATTTATTAGTACTCCAGTCAATCCACAAATAATTTTAAATTAATGTAATATTGAAGTTATCAGTAATAAAAGCTGTCATATTAACTAAACAGGCCGGTTGTTAGTGCCACCTCCAGCCACAGTTGTAGGAAGTAGTTTGCTTTTTTAATTATTTTAGTGATTATTTGTATACATACTTAAGAAAATGATACATTTAGAATTTTAGAATCAAAACTTATTAAATCCATAAACTTTGAATTTTTCATTTTTTTGTCAATTTTAATGTTCAAACAGTCTTGTATCTAAGGGCCAGGAAATTTGAATCAATACCCGTTAAATTCACTTCATCATATCATTAGTTGGTTGAGAAATATACTATACTTTTAATATTTTTTTTTTATTTCTTGAAAATCAATTTAATGTTAAGTTTTGATTCTAAAGATCTCAAATATATATATTTTTAAATAGCACTCTCTCTTTCATTACAATCTAAGCTGATGCTGCTTCTGAAGAGGAACAATATTTAAAAAATGGTAATTTTTATTTTAAATTATTAATTTTAATTTTACAACCATTATAAGTCCTCATTCAATGACTTTCCAATCTATCTTTTCATAATGTTTACTTAGTTCAGACAAATCCCAATTATCTTTGTTATTGAGTGACTTGATTGCTGGAGATGTGTGAAATTTAGGGTTAACCCTTGTATAGAAAAAAAATATAAGGTTGTAGAGTAAAACACATTATTACATCAAAATATTTAAATAATGCTACAAATTAGTTCATAACAAAAAGCACTTATAATTTATCTGTAATGAATATGTCATTGCATAAAAGAATAAATAAAAATATGTTTCTAAAAATAATCAGTTATTTGTTTTTGTTTTTTATTTTGAAAAAGCTTTCTTCAAATTTGCGATTCAATTTTACACAAAACAAGTTAGTCAAACTTAACAATATGGCTGTTAAACGTTATTATATCAAAGGATTCCACTGATCAATTATTGAAAAGGAGCTGTAGTTAAAATGAGAAGAAGAAAAAATAAAAGGGAAAAAATAAGTGCTGATGATGGATCAGAAGTTAAGTGAAGTAAAGTTTTAGGCATAGGTGCAAACTTCAGGGAGGGGAGGAGCGATTTTGCCCAATAAAAATATTGAGGAGATGAGGATATCGTTTCTCCTCCTTTTAATAATTGAAGAAAAAAATTAAATTCATAACAAATAAGCTATTTTAATAAATAAAATATATAAACTAAACTCGACTATGAAAATAAGAAAAGTCGACTAGCTGGTTGTTAGGCTAAGAACTAGAAGTAGGTACGAAACTATTTCACCCCGATCATTTATTCGAATATTTATTTATATCCAGGAATAATAATATAACAACATATTATAGGATTTTATGTTTCATTCACCTCTTATGTGCACCATAAGCACATAAGTGCACACAGTGCACCAATGAACCTCTTGTTCATTTTCATGTGACATCTGTATAACATTTTCTGTTGAAAAGTTGAAAAAATATATTTAATATGTATAAATATTTTAGGGGTGGAAGGAGCTGTAACTTTATTCTCAGACTTAGTTCCAGAATAAAGTTCTATTTTCTAAAAAAAAAACAAAAGTATAAATAAAAAAAACAAACCTGTACCACTACAACCCATGAAGGGCCTTGGGTTCAGTACTTTGCAAAGAGTACTGTTTCAAGGCTAACGGTTGTGCAGAGAAGTGATCTGATGGGAAATTAGGGGAAAATAAGAGAAGATACAAGGAGTTTGTGGATAGGTTGTGGGAGTAGATGAGGGGAGTGATGAAATAACTTCATCGCACCTATTGACCTTCGAGAGATGAGGGTGATATGAGGTTTCCAGGAGAGGTTTTCGTCAATGCTGATTCCTAGGTTTTTAACGGAGAAGCTGAATGTGACGGGATCATCATTGGTGACTAAAGGAGGAAAGTAGGAGAAGTATTTAAGTAGAGGATTGGAGCCTATACCAATGGACAGTGTTTTAATCGCATTTAGTCTTAAATGATTCAAGCTTGCCTAGGCACTGATTCTATCTAGGTCTACCTGAATATTGGCGAACGTAACTAATAGTTCTGAAGGTTGAAAGGATAAATAGATTTGGAAGTCGTCAGCGTATAGATGGTGTAAACAATCGTGAGTAGAATTAGGTAGATCATTTATGTAGGAATTAAAAAAGAGAAGGAAAATGCTTGAACCCAGGGCCACTCCAGAGGACAGTGCAAGGAAGTAAGATAAGGATTGGTTTGGAATACTAACTGCTTGGCTCCAGTCAGAAAGAAAA